ACTATTCTGGGTTGAATATACAATTAGGCTCCAGACAAGGGGTTATTGTTTAGTTCTTTTCTGAATACGGAAAAACATGTTGAAACATAGAGGTATCAATAAGCAGTTGCCGCACGCTCCCAAAGGAAGAAAAAAGGCGAGTCTCTAGCTAGACACGCTCAGAACATTCAAGTTCTGAAAGTATTGGTGCATGTGCATGTGTGAGTAACGTTAACATAAATTGAATATGAAAAAATTGTCTGGAAACCTCCGCAGGCCCCTAGTGAAATAGAAGCTGATCCTCAAGCTCAACACGCTCGTAACAGTAAAGGGCTGTACATACATGATGTATCTGCAAAAATAATTAAGTCTAATTCGAACAAAGTATATTTCATTTAGCGACCATTGCACGCCGCACTGTTTAATTAAAAATTTAAACTCAGGCTAGGCGTGCTCGAAATAGTTGAGGTACACATATATACGGTTTTTAATCTCCATGTATTTAAACAAGTTGTATCAAGCTTAAAGGGTGAATTTATTAGTGACTGTGACCAAAGCGAATATCGATCTTCTAAATTAAATTAAAATATACATATACGTCTGTCTATACATAACACGGCCATCTATATCTTTTAAGTACTGAGTGCAAGTTAGACTACCCCCCCCCTCGTAGGTGTACAGACATACTTAAAGTCACTCTTTAGCTAGGTTAATATTGTGGTGCACGCTTGTCGTTGGCATAAAATTAGTTAAATGTGAATATGATCACAAATTAAATGACGGACGATGATAAGCAAATTGCAATCGCGCTACGCAAGCATACTCTAAGGGTCAATACAGCCACAAGCATCATCATAAAAATTCTTTACTAATTGCTGCGGTACAGTAACCAGAATTGGTTATTTTACCGAAGGGTGGCCTCCAAAGGTCGCTGCTTTAAATTAATGTTATTGCTCCTGTCTGTTTTTTGTGATCGTGTTTATCTAGAATCCCCCGCTTGGGGATGCTATTATTTTCCCTGTTTAATTAATTATTATGTATAAAAATGCTCTCTATTACGTCTTTATATGCCACAAGTTTTCTGTCACGAAATTCGTCGCATTTATTGTGAAAACATTTGTTTGCATCAGTAAAAAATGCTAAGGAAGGACGGTCGATGAGCTGAGCTCAGCGAACTTCTATAGGCTATATTGTCCAAGTAAATCTTCACTTTTTGTTCATTCTCAATATACAATTGTTTTTAATTTAATCAGCAACAGGAAGACCTAAATTTTTTGTGTTGAGTAGAAAAATTTAAAGGAAGTTCGAACGTAATGAACAACCGACTTTCGAAGAATAGAGGAAAATTTAATAAGAATCGGACGCGATTTGCATCGAGAGCCAATCTCTAGTCTTCGGGGTGGCTTCTAAAAACGGATTTGTACCGGATGTTAAGCACACGGACTATTTATAGAAATAGCTCTTCGATTGTGATATGAATCGCTTACTCCTCGTCGGCAAAGCTAAACAATCGATAACACATACTTTTGGGGTTATAACGACACTCAGCGAGCGCATTTATATAGCGTGATGAAGATACGAACATGAATGATGCTTTTTAGTATAATAGTATGCTATACTATAGCCTGTAGAGTCGTACGCCATACCGACTACCTAAGGTTTACGACATTGTGAACACTATACAGAAGACTTTTAAGAGTTATACACTTTGTGAAACCGGATATGTTGTGAATCTTATCAATGCGAAAATCGCAATTGCGCTTTAGTTTAATTAAGAGAAATAGGTGGCAGATGGTGCTTAAAAAGCGTATTTGGAGATCGAGTATCGAGGTACAAATGACTGAAGAGAACATCGTGGTCAGGTAGACGAGAAAATTAATAAGTCAGTTTAGTACTAAAAGTACAGCTAAATCGGGTATGGACCAAAGAAAAAAATGTAGGACTGAACGACCACGGGATACAAAATCAAATGAAGAGAAGATGGGTACCGATAAGAAAATTAATTTTATAATAGGGTGAATCTGTTACTATTTAAGTGTGCTGGGCTCTGTTAAGTCCAATAAGTTCGAGGTGTAGCAGATGAGTTGGAGGTGTGGGTACAGAATGACAAACAATTAGTCCTGGTCGTCTAATTTCGCTTAATGGGGGCACTGAAGTAATTTATATACTACAAATCTAATGATTCACACGATGAAAGTTATCTCGAGTGTATATGTATCATCGTAACCTTCATCCGTAATGACGAGAGCATGTCTTGCTATCACCTGATATTGGCCGGACTTTGCGACGATGCGTTACATAATAGGAGAAGTAGTTGAGATTGTTCGTCATAAGCTACCACTTGGTCAATATAAAAGGGTTGATGGTGTTAACTGTACTGTACAAAACGAAAGTCGCTGTGGTGCAAGTCGCAAGTGTGTGCTCAAATGGACCCCGCACTGAATTACAATACTATCGTAAAGTTACAGGTAATTAAAAAAAGAGATACGGAGAAGCATTCCATGACTGTATGTTTATAAGATGACATAGATGAGCGGTATGCAGCACCTGCCAAGTCAGCTGAAGCTTATTATTATCACAATGAATAAATATCAGTTGACGATAAAAAACAAGATTTTCTTGGACACATAATAGCACAGATTATACGATGCGTCTGCACACATTTAAGCTAGCTAAAATTTGTTATTCGGAGCTTGTGCATGATACAAATTACACATCTTAGTCTACGCGTGGCCCGCTTGGCATATGTCACGACCGGCAGTATTAAAGTTGTTTAAAAACACAATGAGTAACTATAACACTACAGAAGTTAGTGAGTCGTGCTGAGCTGATCGCGACAAGCCTGATGATACAACCATATCCTTTGCGAGAAAACGGACGCATCAACTCGTCGAGTCGAGCGATGGCAAACGTCTAGATATTTTACAACTAGTTTAAATGCCATTACTAAATTTTAATGTGTATGTAAAGGAAAAAAAATGCCGTATTCAAACACGACAAGAAGAATGTCCCAGATGGGTAAATAAAAAATGCAGATAATTTTAAAATTAAAAACGCGTCACATCCTCGTATACTCGAAATAACGTGGTGTACATAAAAGTTCATCTTTAATGCCATTTCAATATTTCTTGAATTGACGTGCTCAGCCCTCGCCCTGCAGGTGCAGACGGTACAGGGATGATGCAAACGTGTTTTTGTATCGTCGGCCGCAGCTGTCAATGTAGACAATAGGCGTTCGTGCTGTCGTAATTGATAGTATCGTTTTGTGATCTGTATTGCCGCTATTGGTTTTCAATGTCAATTGTTTATTATTGTTATTTCTGATAGTTGCCGCTAATATTGCTATCGTCATTGTTTCTGTTGTTGTTGCTGCTGCTACCGCTGTGGCTGTAGCCATTGTCGTTATTGTCGTAAGTGATGCATGTCATTCCTGTTACTTTAAAGCTGCTGCCGCTAAAGTCATCGTTTTTGCTGCTGACGCCGCTGTTATTGCAACTGCTGCTAGTGTTCTTGGTGTTGTTTAGGTTCTGTGGTTTAGTTAGTACTACTGCAGTGTATCTTTTTCAAATGCTAAGTCGTGAGATACGAACACGTTCACAGCTCGTATGCTATATTTACTTAAGCTGATTAAATATTTATTCGACCATCGTGAATGCATTCTACCTGTTTGACTCTTATTTTAGAGTAGTATCAATGCGCTCCACTTTAAACTAAATACACCCCATACACCACACCCTACCGTACCACAATATGGTTTGTACGACAAACATTGCAACACCATACACATGTACGACCATAATCGTACAGTATTCTCTATCATCGTGTAAGTGATTAGTGATTTACCAACCTAGCTTTCTCTGACCGCCGATGGCCCGGTCTTAACACAGATTTATGATAGGTTCGATTATCATGCGTATAGCTAAATAATACAACTTCTTGTTTGTGGAGGTGATCTTCACTTGAACGGATGCATCCGATTACATTCGTGACACGTAAACTTTCGTTCCAATCTTTAGCACCTTTTTCGATTAAAAACTGGGTATTGCCTTTTATGAAAGTTACAAATAGCGCCCAAGATGTATTACACGTGTAGTAACGAGTGTATTGTGGTCGTCGATCAAATCTTTTGCGAAGGGAAAGATCTTCAGTGCATTCACTGCGTACTCAATGAAGAACTTCTTGGTAAATCACCCATCATTTGTACGATTTATACCGAATGTTATGTGGTAGTAGTGGTACAGAGGTATGATGGCGCGATGTTTGTCGAAAACAGCTGTATTGTGTTGTGTTATGGGTGTCGTGAATGGGGTGTATTTAGTAAAAAGTGAGATGTGATTAGCAATACCCTTATTTTATCAATCGAAAGGCTTTACCTGTGGTGACGCCCATATTCTAGTGCTTTTACATGGATTAGTCAGTGCCTACAAGAATTCCTCCAGATCATCAAGCTGAAATTGTATAGTTCAAGAGGCGATGACAATACACAAGACTTATGATATTGTTGTATCTTGAGCGCGAGGCGAAGAGAAAACGAAGCGGAGAGACCGGAGAGAACGAAGCAGAGAACACTTGCTCACTTGAGGGAGGATTCGAAAGTGATTGATTTATAGGTCTTAACTTCTGCCTACCCTAGACTGCATCCAATCACATGGTGCATCTAATCAACCTGATTTACACGCGTCCAATCATCCTACGCGTCTAATCATCTCTGAGGTAATTACCGATGTAAAAACTATCTCGTAAGAACTACGCGCTAGGTTCGGATTGTACCGGTAACCCTCAATACGCCCCCTCAATCCGAACACGCACGGATGCCAAGCGCCGCCGTCAAGTCCTTGTGACGCGGTCCGTGAAGTCCCTTCGTCATGATGTCCGCCAACATCAACGTCGTCTCGCAGTATTCAAGCTTCACTTCGCCGCGCTCGACTTCATCACGGATGTGATGGTACTTGATGTCGATGTGTTTAGCGCGGCCGTGGTTGACCGGATTCTTCGTCATCTTGATGCACGACTGGTTGTCTTCACGGATGACGAGCTCCGGGTCCTTCTTCGTTTGCAGCCGCCATGATCTCGCACAGCAAGCGATTGATCCACTTGCCTTCTTGGATCGCCAGGCTGAGCGCGATGTACTCCGCTTCGCTTGTAGACAGTGACACACTTGGCTGTTTCTTGCTGCCCCAACTCACCGGAGCACCCAATAGCATGAAGACGTAGCCGGACGTCGATTTGCGATCAGCAAGGTCACCGGCCCAGTCTGCATCTGAATAGCCACGAAAGTCGATCTTCGCACTTGGCTTGTAGCAGATTCCATGCATCTTGGTGCCTTGTAGGTAGCGGAAGATGCGCTTGACTGCAACCCAGTGTTCTTCTTGGGGTTTCTCCATGAACCGTGACACAAAGCTTACAGCATAGGCGATGTCCGGTCGCGTTGCAGTCGTCAGATGCATCAAAGCACCCACTGCTTCACGGAATGGGACATCCACCTTGCTTGCAAAGTTGCTTGGAACCAGTCGAGAGCTGACGTCCACCGGACTTGCCACAGCCTTGCACTCATCCATTCCAAAGCGCTTGAGGACATCGTCGACATAACGGCGCTGACACATAGTCACGCTGCCATCTTCACCGTCCAATAACTCGATCCCAAGAACAAATGCACACTTGCCGCTATCAGTCATCTCGAAGCGTGTCTTCAGGTCTTCCTTGGTGTGTGCAATCAACTTGGGTGAGCTTCCTGTCACCAACACGTCATCCACATAGACCAAAATTAATACGCATTGGTCTTCCATAATCTTGATGTAGAGACATGGGTCGAAGCCTGACACTTGAAATCCGATGGAGCACATATACTCATCGAACGTCTCGTTCCACACTCGCGACGCTTGCTTGAGGCCGTAAATTGACTTCACCAATTCCAGGCAGTCGAACGTACTGTCAAGTTCGACGCCTTCAGGAATCACGCAGAACACTTGTTCCTTCATGACGCCATACAGGAAAGCTGTCACCACATCAAGCTGGTCGATGGGCCATCCAAAATGCTTGGAAATTGCGATCACCATTCGCAGCGTCACATACTTGACCACGGGCGAAAACGTCTCGGTGTAGTCGATTCTATACTTCTGGAGAAAGCCCTTTGCCACGAGACTTGCCTTGTACTTCTCGATTGACCCATCCGCCTTGTGCTTGATCTTGAACACCCATTTTGTGCCAATGGCGCGTTGTCCGTTGGGCAGCTTGGCTGCACGAAACACACCGCGAAGTCGCATTGACTCGAGCTCTGCATGAATTGCTTTTCTCCAGTGCACTTGGTCAGGGCCGCTTACTGCTGCTTCAAATGTTGAGGGTTCTGATAAGTCCACTGCTGCTTCAACGGCATTTGCACTCGCACGCAAAACACAGGCGGTGTTGAATCACCAGAATCCTTCGTTTCTTCGTCTTCTTCTTGTCGTGACGAGTTGTTTTCCGGCGCGCTTGACTCTTCTAGTCCTGGTCGTTGACGCACTGCACGCGGTCGTGGAGCTGCTGTATCTTCATCATTGAGTCGGTTCTTGCGCTTGCCAGTTTGCTGATACTCCATTTGACGCAGCTCTTCGTCATCAAGATCCAGCAATTCGAAGTCCAGGTCATCGACATCTTCATCAGTGATCGGCAGTTGAAGTCCAAAGGTGGACTCGTCGAAGTTGACATCGCGGCTGATAACCACCTGCCCCGCCTCAATGTCAAATACACGATATGCCTTGGACACTTCTTCGTAGCCCACGAATATGCCAGCGCGAGCCTTTGGATCCCACTTGAGTCGATTCTCTTTAGGCGTCAGTATGTATGTCTGACAGCCGAATACTCGCATGTGCTTGAAACTTCGCTTGGAGTTGTACACGATCTCAAACGGGGTCTTATGCACATTTTTGGTGACGGTAGGCGATTCTTGACGTAGATGACCGTCATTGCTAATTCAGCCCAGAAGCACTTGTCCAACTTGGCATGGTGAAGCATGCTGTGGCCGATCGTGACGATAGTCCCGATGGCGCGATTGCTGTTCCGTTGTTCTGGTGTGCATACGGCACCGTCGTCTGCTGTTCAATGCCTTCATCCTCGTAGAAATCTTGAAGCGAGTTGGTTGCAAACTCGCGAGCTCCGTCGTGTTGCACGAACTTGACCTTCTTACAGAATTGCGTCTGTACCATGGTGATATATTTCCGGATGTAGTCTTCACTCTCGGACTTCACTCGTAGACAAAAGCCCTTCATGCATCCACTGGCTTCGTCGATGCTCAGCAGCAAATATTTGCTGCCACCGAGCGAATCCTTTTCCATGGGCCCGCAGATGTCCAGATGTAGCTCAAACGTATCGTAGCTGCGCTTGTCTCGGTTGCTTGGAAATGGTTTTTGGACCATTTTCCCTTGTTGACATCCTCGACATGTAGTTGCTCCACCCGACTTGAGAGGGACTCGCACATCCTTGATCATGTTGGTCGCGATCATCTTGCGAAGTACATCGACTGGAGCATGACCCATTCTCGCATGTAGATCGGCACAACTGGTTCCACTTGTTGTCACATTCGCTGATCGTTGAGTCGTCCGAAGCCAGTAGAGTCCATCCACGAGATCCGCTGTCGCCACCACTTGCTGTGAGTTCTTGAGAGTCACATACATCTTGGACCCGTCAAACACGACTTGAAACTTGCCATACCTGTTCATCTGTGGCACCGAGAGCAGGTTCTTGCTCATACTTAGAACATATAGCGCGTTCTTGATTTCGATCTCACGCTCTTCACCGTTGGGCAGAACCACCTTTTCCATGATGGTTCCCACACCCTTGATGGCCACCTTGTTGCCATCAACCACCAAGAGTTCGCCCTCATTGCGCTCTGCCAAACTTGCGAACTTGGTCTTGTCGTGGCAAATTGTTAGATGGTGAAAAGCTTGACGACCGAAACTGGGAGTGATGCTGGGAGTCTACTCGGAAGACCGGAGAAGACACTTGGGGGGTAGATGGAAGATTGGAAAGTGATTGATTATCGGGGCTTACTACTTACTACATGATTTATATGTGGTGCACATATAAATCATGTGAAGCGTCTCATCATCCTACGCGTCTAATCAACTATGGTAATTACCGTAAGAACTACGTCGTAAATACTAAGCTGAACAGGCGGTTCGGATTGGACCGGTCACGGTTACCAATACTGGTAGAAACCGATGACCGTCAACACGCCCCCTCAATCCGAACTCGCACGAATGCCGAGAGCCGTCGTCAAGTCCTTGTGACGAGGTCCCGAAAGTCCCTTGGTCATGATGTCCGCCATCATCACGGAAGTCTCGCAATACTCGAGCTGCACTTCCCCGCGCTTGACCTCATCACGGATGTGATGGTACTTGATGTCGATGTGCTTGGCGTGGCCATGATTCACCGGATTCTTCGTCATCTTGATGCACGACTGGTTGTCTTCACGGATGACGAGGTCCGGTCCTGGTTCGTTTGCGGCCGCCAAAATCTCGCATAGCAGGCGATGCACCCACTTGCCTTCCTGGATGGCCAGACTCAGTGCGATGTATTCCGCTTCACTCGTCGACAGCGACACACTTGACTGCTTCTTGCTTCCCCAACTCACAGGAGCACCCATCAGCATGAAAGTGTAACCCGAAGTCGACTTGCGATCAGCGTGGTCGCCGGCCCAGTCCGCGTCCGAGTAGCCACGAAAGTCGATCTTGTCGCTTGGCTGGAAGCGGAGTCCGTGCGACTTGGTCCCTTGCAAGTAACGAAAGATGCGCTTCACCGCCGTCCAATGTTCTTGCTGCGGATTCTCCATGAAGCGCGAGACGTACCCCACAGCATACGCAATGTCCGGGCGCGTCGCAGTCGTCAAGTGCATCAAAGCTCCCACAGCTTCACGAAACGGAACGTCGATCTTGGCCGCTTCGGTGCTTGCGACAAGCCGAGTGCTCAAGTCGACCGGACTTGCTGTGGCCTTGCACTCATCCATGCCGAAGCGCTTGAGGATGTCGTTGACATACCGTCGCTGGCACATTGTCACGCTGCCATCCGATTCGTCCACCAGTTCGATGCCCAGTACAAAAGTACACTTGCCACTGTCGGTCATCTCGAAACGCGTCTTGAGGTCGGCCTTCGTCTGCGCAATCAACTCGAGCGAGCTGCCGGTGACCAACACGTCATCCACGTAGACCAGCACGAGCACACAGTGACCGTCGACAACCTTGATGTAGAGACATGGGTCGAACGCCGACGCTTCGAAACCGATGGAGCATACGAACTCGTCGAAAGTCTCGTTCCACACACGTGAAGCTTGCTTGAGACCGTAGATCGCCTTCACCCACTCGAGACAGTCGAAGTCGCCATCCATCTCGACGCCTTCTGGTATCACGCAGTACACCTTCTCCTTCATCACTCCGTAGAGAAAGGCTGTCACCACATCGAGTTGGTCCAGTGGCCAGTCGAAATACTTGGTGATCGCGATCACCATACGCAGTGTCACGTACTTGACCACGGGCGAGAACGTCTCTGTGTAGTCGATGCCGTACTTCTGCTTGAAGCCCTTGGCAACGAGACGCGCCTTGTATTTCTCGACCGATCCATCCGCTTTGCGCTTGATCTTGAACACCCACTTGGTGCCGATCGCGCCTTGGCCTCTTGGCAGTTTTGCCGCACGGAAAACTCCACGAAGATGCATCGACTTGAGTTCCGCCTTCACAGCATTTCGCCAGTGAGTTTGATCAGGACCATTGATCGCGTCTTGAAAGTCACAGGTTCTGCTAGGTCCGTTGCTTCCACTGCGTTTGCACTTGCACGCCAAAATGTTGGAGGCGTCGAGTCGTCATCTTGATCGTACACGCTTGCATCTTCTTCGTCATCAGACATCGTTTCTGGAGCACTTGATCGTCGTTTCTGGTGACGGTTGGAGACGTGTTCCGGCGCACTTGCTTGTTCCAACCCAGTTCGAGGGCGAGCTGACCGTGACATGCCGGGTCTTGCTTCACTCTTGCGCTTGCCAGTCTGCTTGTAGACGGTTTGACGCACGTCGTCCTCGTTGATCGCCAGGAGGTCGAGGTCCAACTCCGCATCTTCATCATCGTCACTTGGTCGGTCCATCGAAAAGTCAAAAGTCGATTCGTCGAAGGTGATGTCACGACTGATCACCACTTGGCCCGCCTCAATGTCGTACACTCGATAAGCTTTTGACGCTTCTTCGTAGCCCATGAACATCCCTTCACAAGCCTTCGGGTCCCACTTCAATCGCTTCTCCCTTGGTGTCAGGATAAACGCCCGACATCCAAACACGCGCATGTGCTTGACACTTGGTTTCGACTTGTACACGATCTCGAACGGAGTCTTGTGGTCGATCTTGGGTGAAGGCAGGCGGTTCTTGATGTAGATCGCCGTCATTGCCGCTTCAGCCCAGAAACACTTCTCCAGCTTTGCATGATGCAACAAGCTGCGTCCGATCGTGACGATGGTCCTTATCGCGCGTTCTGCGGTGCCGTTGGTCTGGTGTGCATACGGCACCGTGATCTGTTGTTCAATACCATGATCTTCGTAGAAGGTCTTGATGGAGTTGGTCGCAAACTCATGCGCTCCATCGTGCCGAACAAACTTGATCTTCGTGCCGAACTGAGTTTGAATCTTGATAATGTGGTTCTTGATACAGTCTTCACTCTCAGACTTGGACCGCAGACAGAAGCCCTTCATGCAACCGCTGGCTTCGTCAACCACAAGCAGTAAGTATCTGCTGCCGCCGATCGAGACTTGTTCCATTGGCCCGCAGATGTCGAAGTGCAGCAACTCGAACACACCATATTGGCGCTTGTCACGGTTGGTTTGGGAATGGTTTTTGGACCATCTTTCCTTGCTGGCAACCGCGACACACACTTGGACCAGTCGAGTTGAGAGGTGCCTTTGCGTCCTTGATCATGCCGGTGGCCACCATCTTGCGCAGAACTTCGAGGGGTGCATGACCCATGCGCGCATGCAAGTCGATGGTCCCATTGCGTGTTGCTGCATTTGCCGATCGTTGAGGAGTCCGCAGCCAGTAAAGTCCATCGACGAGGTCCGCCGTTGCCACGACTTGTGTGGAATTCTTGCGCTTCACTTGCATCTTGGATCCATCGAACACGACCTGAAACTTGCCACCCTTGTAAATCTGCGGCACCGATAACAGATTCTTGCTCATACTTGGTACGAACAGTGCGTCCTTGATCTCGATGTCGAGTTCGTCACCATTGGGCAGAACCACCCGTTCCATGATGGTTCCCACACCCTTGATCGCAGCCTTGCTGCCATCAGCCACTGATAGTTCGCCTTCCTCTCGCTCATTCAGGCTTGCAAACTTGGCCTTGTCGTTGCAGATGTGATGCGTCGCACCGCTGTCGACTGCCCACATCCCTGGCATATTCTTGCCCGTCGAAAGTCCAGCCTCCAGCGAAACCGCGAACGCAACTCGATCGTAGTTGTCATCGTAGTTGCTGTTGGTTCGCCACTGAACGTTGTTGGCTCCGCGTCCACGAGCATTGTTGCCGCCGCGTCGAGCTCCACCTTGATTTTCGTCCTTCTGCTTGGTCCAGCACCGCTCCGCCGTGTGCCCCAATTTTCCGCAGTATGTACACTGGCGAGGTTCACGCTCGGCACTGAACGCCTTCGCCGCGTCTTCAGTCTTCACCGATGTCGTCTTGTCACCTTGTCTCTTGATGTGCTCATTCGTGAGCACTCTCACGACGTCTCGCGATCGCAGTTCCGCGCTGCTCATCTCCAAGTTGAGAACGACGTTCTCGTAGCTCTTGGGGAGGCTGCGCAACAAGCAGATCGCCACGTCCTCGTCCTCCATCTTGGCGCCGATGCTGCTGAGCTTCGCGCTGATGTTGAGGACTTCGTTGCAATGATGCATCACATTGCCGCCTTCCGCCATCTCCATGCTGAACAGCTGGCGCTTCAAGTAGATGCGTCCAGCCTTCTGCGACCCGCCGTACAGCGTCTTCAAACGCGCCCACGCGACCCACGCCTCTTCACAGTCATCAACCACGTGATGATAATCCGCGCTCATGTGCAGCAGCATCAAGCCGAACGCAATGTTGTTCGTCTTGATGTAGTCGTCACTGGCGCGAGGATCGGCGAAGGTGGGGGTGGTCTCCCGGTTCACCACGTGCCACGCCGACTTGGTCAGGAACACGCCACGCATGTAGCGGCTCCACGTCGCGTAGTTGTCGCCGTCGAACTTGTCGATGGAGATCTTGGTGGTGGCATCATGAGCAGAGGACATCGTGCTTGGGCTCATAACCTGTTAGATGGTGAAAAGCTTGACGACCGAAACTGGGAGTGATGCTGGGAGTCTACTCGGAAGACCGGAGAAGACACTTGGGGGGTAGATGGAAGATTGGAAAGTGATTGATTATCGGGGCTTACTACTTACTACATGATTTATATGTGGTGCACATATAAATCATGTGAAGCGTCTCATCATCCTACGCGTCTAATCAACTATGGTAATTACCGTAAGAACTACGTCGTAAATACTAAGCTGAACAGGCGGTTCGGATTGGACCGGTCACGGTTACCAATACTGGTAGAAACCGATGACCATCAACACAAATGTGGTGCGTTGCACCACTGTCGACGGCCCACATTCCAGACACGTCCTTGCTCGTCGAAACTCCACATTCGAACGAGACTGCAAACGCCACTCGATCGTAGCCATTGCCTTCATCATGATGTCCCCACTGGACATTGTTAGCCCCGCGTCCACGACCATTGCCGCCGCGTCGGGCTCCCCGACCTTCGTTCTTCTGCTTTGTCCAGCAACGATCCACCGTGTGTCCCACCTTGCCACAATACGTGCATTGGTAGGGCTCACGCTCGGCGCTGAATGCCTTGCTTGCATCTTCAGCCTTCACCGTAATCGCTGTCGTTGTCCCTTTTTCTCCTTGACGCTTGGCATGCTCATTCGTCAGGACTCTCACCACATCTTGAGTGCGAAGCTCGGTGCTGCTCATTTCCATGTTGAGCACCACATTTTCGTAGCTCTTCGGAAGACTGAGTAGCAGACAAATTGCAATGTCTTCGTCTTCCATCTTCGCACCGATGCCGCTAAGCTTGGCGGAGATGTTGAGGACCTCGTTCCAGTGATGCATGACGTTCGCGCCTTCAGCCATCTTGATACTGAAAAGTTGTCGCTTGAGGTAGATGCGTCCTGCCTTCTGCGACCCACCGTACAGCGTCTTCAGACTTGTCCACGCAACCCAGGCTTCCTCGCAGTTGTCCAGCACATGATGGTAGTCCGCGTTCATGTGCAGCAGCATCATACCAAACGCGACGTTGCTTGCCTTGACGTAGTCATCGGACGCTCGCGGGTCGGTGAAAGTCGGAGTCACTTCACGGTTGACGACGTGCCAGACGGACTTCGTCAAAAACACACCGCGCATGTACCGGCTCCACGTTGCGTAATTGTCTCCGTTGAACTTGTCAATGGAGGCGTTGCTGGTGGACGACATGGCGCTTGGGCTCATAACCTGTAAGGAGTAAGAGTTAAGTAAAGTAAATGACTTGTATATTACCGCGCACCAGACGCGTTTCGGCCCCCCGCCGGGGGCCTCATCAGTGGTTTGTCAATCTACAAGTGAGAACTATCCATACGTCTAGCTGCGTACGACCTATAATAATGCATAGAACCCTAAAGAACATTCTAGACATACCCTATCCTGGGTCGAATCTCTGGAGTCGAATCCAGTGCATCATGCACTTACAACAGGGTGGCAGCAAGTATCTGCTGCTGATCGTGGATGAAGCCAGCGGATGCATGAAGGGTTTTTGTCTGCATTTCAAGTCAGAGAGCGAAGAGTGCATCAAGAAGTACATCACGATGATACAGACGCAGTTCAACAAGAAGGTCAAATTTGTGCGACACGATGGAGCCCGCGAGTTTGCGACGAACTCGCTTCAAGATTTCTACGAAGTCGAAGGCATCGAGCAACAAACCACGGTGCCATACGCACATCAAGCCAATGGAACTGCTGAACGCGCGATTCGAACTATCGTCACCATCGGTCGTAGCATGCTCCATCATGCCAAGTTGGACAAGTGCTTCTGGGCTGAAGCGGCAATGACGGCCGTCTATGTGAAGAACCGTTTGCCGTCACCCAAGATTCCACACAAGACACCGTTCGAGATTGTCTACAATTCTAAGCCAAGTGTCAAGCACATGCGCGTTTTTGGGTGCCAAGCATACATCTTGACCCCGAAGGAGAAACGACTCAAGTGGGATCCCAAGGCCCGGGCTGGATTGTTTTTGGGCTACGAAGAAGTGTCCAAGGCGTATCGAGTTTACGACATCGAAGCGGGGCAGGTGATGATAAGTCGCGATGTCAACTTCGATGAGTCGGCCTTTGGAATGTCGATGCTGATTTCCGATGACGATGTTGATGGCCTGGACTTCGAATCGATCGATCTTGATGATGAAGAACCGCGTCCGAGACACTTCAAACAAACAGGAAAGCGCAAGGCCCAACCCAGTCACGACAATGACGACGCAAGCATGCCCCGAGCAGTGCGCCAACGACCCGGATTGGAAGAGTCAAGTGCGCCGGATGACCTCTCTTCACGTCGAGCCAACGAAGATGAAGAAAGGAAGTCGGAGGAACAACATGACACACCAACTTCCTCCGCGTTTTGGCATGCGAGTGCAAACGCCGTCGAAGCAGCGGTCGATTTTTCGGAGCCGTCGACATTTGAAGAAGCAGTGTCTGGCCCGGACCAAGTACACTGGCGCAAGGCAATTGATGCGGAGCTCGATTCGATGAAGCTTCGCGGTGTCTTTCGTGCGGCCAAGTTACCCAACGGACAAAGCGCCATTGGCACAAAGTGGGTCTTCAAGATCAAGCGCAAGGCGGATGGGTCGATCGAGAAATACAAGGCACGACTTGTGGCCAAGGGTTTTCGCCAAAAGTATGGCATCGACTACACGGAGACGTTCTCGCCCGTGGTCAAGTATGTGACGCTGCGAATGGTCATCGCCATTACCAAGCACTTTGGATGGCCCCTCGACCAGCTCGATGTGGTGACTGCGTTCCTGTATGGAGTGATGAAGGAGAAGGTGTTCTGCGCTGTTCCGGAAGGCGTCAAGATGGAAGGTGATTTCGACTGTCTCGAGCTGATCAAGGCGATCTACGGTCTCAAGCAAGCCTCGCGTGTTTGGAACGAGACCTTCGACGAGTTCATACGCTCGATTGGTTTTCAAGCGTCGGGATTCGATCCATGTCTCTACATCATGACTTCGGAAGGCCATTGTGTTTTTGTGCTGGTCTACGTGGACGATGTCTTGGTGACTGGAAGCTCGCTCGAGATGATTGCGCGCACCAAGAACGACCTCAAGACACGCTTCGAGATGACGGACAGCGGCAAGTGTGCCTTTGTTCTTGGGATCGAGTTATTGGACGGTGAAGATGGCAGCGTGACTATGTGTCAGCGCCGTTATGTCGACGATGTCCTCAAGCGCTTTGGAATGGATGAGTGCAAGGCTGTGGCAAGTCCGGTGGACGTCAGCTCTCGACTGGTTCCAAGCAACTCTGCAAGCAAGGTGGATGTCCCATTCCGTGAAGCAGTGGGTGCTTTGATGCATCTGACGACTGCAACGCGACCGGACATCGCCTATGCTGTAAGCTTTGTGTCACGGTTCATGGAGAAACCCCAAGAAGAACACTGGGTTGCAGTCAAGCGCATCTTCCGCTACCTACAAGGCACCAAGATGCATGGAATCTGCTACAAGCCAAGTGCGAAGATCGACTTTCGTGGCTATTCAGATGCAGACTGGGCCGGTGACCTTGCTGATCGCAAATCGACGTCCGGCTACGTCTTCATGCTATTGGGTGCTCCGGTGAGTTGGGGCAGCAAGAAACAGCCAAGTGTGTCACTGTCTACAAGCGAAGCGGAGTACATCGCGCTCAGCCTGGCGATCCAAGAAGGCAAGTGGATCAATCGCTTGCTGTGCGAGATCATGGCGGCTGCAAACGAAGAAGGACCCGAGCTCGTCATCCGTGAAGACAACCAGTCGTGCATCAAGATGACGAAGAATCCGGTCAACCACGGCCGCGCTAAACACATCGACATCAAGTACCATCACATCCGTGATGAAGTCAAGCGCGGCGAAGTGAAGCTTGAATACTGCGAGACGACGTTGATGTTGGCGGACATCATGACGAAGGGACTTCACGGACCGCGTCACAAGGACTTGACGGCGGCGCTTGGCATCCGTGCGTGTTCGGATTGAGGGGGCGTATTGAGGGTTACCGGTACAATCCGAACCTAGCGCGTAGTTCTTACGAGATAGTTTTTACATCGGTAATTACCTCAGAGATGATTAGACGCGTAGGATGATTGGACGCGTGTAAATCAGGGTTGATTAGATGCACCATGTGATTGGATGCAGTCTAGGGTAGGCAGAAGTTAAGACCTATAAATCAATCACTTTCGAATCCTCCCTCAAGTGAGCAAGTGTTCTCTGCTTCGTTCTCTCCGGTCTCTCCGCTTCGTTTTCTCTTCGCCTCGCGCTCAAGTTACAACAGGTTATGAGCCCAAGCGCCATGTCGTCCAACAACACCTCGGCCAGTGTCTCCATCGATAAGTTCGATGGGGACAACTACTCAACCTGGTGTCGCTACATGCGCGGCGTGTTTCTGACGAAGTCAGTCTGGTACGTCGTGAACCGCGAAACGTCTCCAACCTTCACCGACACGCGAGCTTCCGACGAGTACGTCAAGGCGAGCAACATCGCGTTCGGGTTGATGTTGCTCCACATGGACGCCGACTACCACCATGTGGTCGACAACTGTGAAGAAGCATGGACAGCGTGGTCGCGGTTGAAGATGCTCTATGGTGGGTCGCAGAAGGCGGGACGCATCTACCTCAAGCGCCAGCTATTCAGCATCAAGATGGCGGAAGGTGCCAACGTCTTGCACCATTGCAACGAAGTCTTGAACATCGGCGCCAAGCTCAGCAGCATCGGTGCCAAGATGGAAGACGAAGACATTGCGATCTGCTTGCTGCTCAGTCTCCCGAAGAGTTTCGAGAACGTGGTTCTGAACTTGGAGATGAGCAATGCAGAGCTGCGCACGCAAGATGTGGTCAAGGTGCTGACTAACGAGCACATCAAGCGGCAAGGCGAGAAGATGACAACGGCAACGACAACGGTGAAGACTGAAGATGCGACAAAGGCATTCAGTACCGAGCGCAAGCCCTACCAATGCACATACTGCGGCAAGGTGGGGCACACGGCAGAGCGTTGCTGGACGAAGCAAAAGGATGAAAGTCGAGGAGCCCAACGCGGCGGCAATGGTCGTGGACGCGGGGCAAACAATGTCCAGTGGCGACATTATGATGAAGGCAACAGCTACGATCGAGTGGCGTTTGCAGTTTCGTTCGAATGCGGAGTTTCGACGAACAAGAATGGACCAGGAATGTGGGCCGTTGACAGCGGGGCAACACATCACATCTGCCACGACAAGTTCAAGTTTGCAAGCTTGGTCGAAGGCAATGATGGCGAGATCCTGGTGGCTGATGGCAACAAGGCGGCCATCAAAGGTGTGGGGACCATCGTGGAAAAGGTGATTCTGCCAAACGGGGAAGAGCGCGAGATCGAGATCAAGAACGCGCTCTATGTGCCCAGCATGAGCAAAAATCTGCTCTCGGTGCCGCAGATTAACAAGCACGGCAACTTCCAAGTGGTGTTTGACGGGGATACGATGTACGTCGCTCGCAAGGATTCCAATCAAGTGGTGGCAGCTGCGGATCTTGTAGACGGACTCTACTGGCTTCGCACGACGCAGCGATCGGCCAATGCGATATCACTCAGCAACGCTGTTGATCTACATGCGCGAATGGGCCATGCTCCAGTCGACGTGCTTCGCAGGATGGTGACAAGCCACATGATCAAGGACGCTCACATCCCTTCCAAGCCGAATGGATCAAGTGTGTGTCGAGGATGCCAAGAAGGGAAGATGGTCCAAAAACCATTCCCGAGCAACCGTGACAAGCGCACCTACAACACCTTCGAGATGCTCCACTTCGACATCTGCGGACCCATGGAAGAAAAATCTCTGGGTGGCAGCAAGTATCTGCTGCTGATCGTGGATGAAGCCAGCGGATGCATGAAGGGTTTTTGTCTGCATTCCAAGTCAGAGAGCGAAGAGTGCATCAAGAAGTACATCACGATGATACAGACGCAGTTCAACAAGAAGGTCAAATTTGTGCGACACGATGGAGCCCGCGAGTTTGCGACGAACTCGCTTCAAGATTTCTACGAAGTCGAAGGCATCGAGCAACAAACCACGGTGCCATACGCACATCAAGCCAATGGAACTGCTGAACGCGCGATTCGAACTATCGTCACCATCGGTCGTAGCATGCTCCATCATGCCAAGTTGGACAAGTGCTTCTGGGCTGAAGCGGCAATGACGGCCGTCTATGTGAAGAACCGTTTGCCGTCACCCAAGATTCCACACAAGACACCGTTCGAGATTGTCTACAATTCTAAGCCAAGTGTCAAGCACATGCGCGTTTTTGGGTGCCAAGCATACATCTTGACCCCGAAGGAGAAACGACTCAAGTGGGATCCCAAGGCCCGGGCTGGATTGTTTTTGGGCTACGAAGAAGTGTCCAAGGCGTATCGAGTTTACGACATCGAAGCGGGGCAGGTGATGATAAGTCGCGATGTCAACTTCGATGAGTCGGCCTTTGGAATGTCGATGCTGATTTCCGATGACGATGTTGATGGCCTGGACTTCGAATCGATCGATCTTGATGATGAAGAACCGCGTCCGAGACACTTCAAACAAACAGGAAAGCGCAAGGCCCAACCCAGTCACGACAATGACGACGCAAGCATGCCCCGAGCAGTGCGCCAACGACCCGGATTGGAAGAGTCAAGTGCGCCGGATGACCTCTCTCACGTCGAGCCAACGAAGATGAAGAAAGGAAGTCGGAGGAACAACATGACACACCGACTTCCTCCGCGTTTTGGCATGCGAGTGCAAACGCCGTCGAAGCAGCGGTCGATTTTTCGGAGCCGTCGACATTTGAAGAAGCAGTATCTGGCCCGGACCAAGTACACTGGCGCAAGGCAATTGATGCGGAGCTCGATTCGATGAAGCTTCGCGGTGTCTTTCGTGCGGCCAAGTTACCCAACGGACAAAGCGCCATTGGCACAAAGTGGGTCTTCAAGATCAAGCGCAAGGCGGATGGGTCGATCGAGAAATACAAGGCACGACTTGTGGCCAAGGGTTTTCGCCAAAAGTATGGCATTGACTACACGGAGACGTTCTCGCCCGTGGTCAAGTATGTGACGCTGCGAATGGTCATCGCCATTACCAAGCACTTTGGATGGCCCCTCGACCAGCTCGATGTGGTGACTGCGTTCCTGTATGGAGTGATGAAGGAGAAGGTGTTCTGCGCTGTTCCGGAAGGCGTCAAGATGGAAGGTGATTTCGACTGTCTCGAGCTGATCAAGGCGATCTACGGTCTCAAGCAAGCCTCGCGTGTTTGGAACGAGACCTTCGACGAGTTCATACGCTCGATTGGTTTTCAAGCGTCGGGATTCGATCCATGTCTCTACATCATGACTTCGGAAGGCCATTGTGTTTTTGTGCTGGTCTACGTGGACGATGTCTTGGTGACTGGAAGCTCGCTCGAGATGATTGCGCGCACCAAGAACGACCTCAAGACACGCTTCGAGATGACGGACAGCGGCAAGTGTGCCTTTGTTCTTGGGATCGAGTTATTGGACGGTGAAGATGGCAGCGTGACTATGTGTCAGCGCCGTTATGTCGACGATGTCCTCAAGCGCTTTGGAATGGATGAGTGCAAGGCTGTGGCAAGTCCGGTGGACGTCAGCTCTCGACTGGTTCCAAGCAACTCTGCAAGCAAGGTGGATGTCCCATTCCGTGAAGCAGTGGGTGCTTTGATGCATCTGACGACTGCAGCGCGACCGGACATCGCCTATGCTGTAAGCTTTGTGTCACGGTTCATGGAGAAACCCCAAGAAGAACACTGGGTTGCAGTCAAGCGCATCTTCCGCTACCTACAAGGCACCAAGATGCATGTAATCTGCTACAAGCCAAGTGCGAAGATCGACTTTCGTGGCTATTCAGATGCAGACTGGGCCGGTGACCTTGCTGATCGCAAATCGACGTCCGGCTACGTCTTCATGCTATTGGGTGCTCCGGTGAGTTGGGGCAGCAAGAAACAGCCAAGTGTGTCACTGTCTACAAGCGAAGCGGAGTACATCGCGCTCAGCCTGGCGATCCAAGAAGGCAAGTGGATCAATCGCTTGCTGTGCGAGATCATGGCGGCTGCAAACGAAGAAGGGACCCGAGCTCGTCATCCGTGAAGACAACCAGTCGTGCATCAAGATGACGAAGAATCCGGTCAACCACGGCCGCGCTAAACACATCGACATCAAGTACCATCACATCCGTGATGAAGTCAAGCGCGGCGAAGTGAAGCTTGAATACTGCGAGACGACGTTGATGTTGGCGGACATCATGACGAAGGGACTTCACGGACCGCGTCACAAGGACTTGACGGCGGCGCTTGGCATCCGTGCGTGTTCGGATTGAGGGGGCGTATTGAGGGTTACCGGTACAATCCGAACCTAGCGCGTAGTTCTTACGAGATAGTTTTTACATCGGTAATTACCTCAGAGATGATTAGACGCGTAGGATGATTGGACGCGTGTAAATCAGGTTGATTAGATGCACCATGTGATTGGATGCAGTCTAGGGTAGGCAGAAGTTAAGACCTATAAATCAATCACTTTCGAATCCTCCCTCAAGTGAGCAAGTGTTCTCTGCTTCGTTCTCTCCGGTCTCTCCGCTTCGTTTTCTCTTCGCCTCGCGCTCAAGTTACAACAAGATTGCCATAACCTTAAGACGAATCAGCAATGTCACAAAGACTTTGAAGTGGCATTGGGAAAGACGTAGATCATGAGATAATAAGCGAGCTTATGATGCACAAATTACTGATGACGCATGACGACAAATACAGAAGACAAATTTCTTCAATTCATAAGGCAAAACACAGGTAAAAAATATATTCTTGATTACTACACTTCACTACTGATATAACACATCCACCCAAAAGTGGTTGTCTCTTGTCGACATTAAGCCCGCACAACCTAGCGAGTATATTCGTCTCATTAGAGAAGAGTAACGAGGTCTCAAACACTGAAAGAACACCCACGTAAATGCTTTTTTACGAAGTGTAGACCCATTTGAGCATTCAGTTACAGCACAGAATAAGTAAATTAATGGTGCATCAGCATACGGCCATAAAAGAAATCGACTACAAAGGGTTAAACCGTAAATTGAAGAAGAAACGACATGTGACGCATTTAATTATCTAGTAAATGTTTATAGTTTGGTGCGCCGACGAAAAAGTTATGTTAGATTAGAATTTTCGCCGCCTTGATGTCGTGCAGCAGACATTTTTAATACTTCTCTGAGATTGATGAACATTCCAGCGCGAGAATTCGGATTTACTTCAGTCTTTGATTTTTTGATGACAGGATGTACTCCTAGTACTTAACACGCTCATTTGTTTAACGCTTCGCTTTGACTTGCATACGATACTAAACGGCGTCTGGTGCGTCGTTATTGGCACCGGGTATGGCTATACGCCGTCCTCGTCTCCACCACCACATCAACCCAGAAGTGTCGTCGAGCTTAGTATGATGCAGCAAGCTAATTGTGATTGCGGCGATGATCCAGATGGTGCAATGTTTAATTGGCAGCCTAATGGGCGTGTATAACCGTGAATTGCTGCTTGATAATTTGGCCTTCAGAGAAGGTATCGAGGTAACTCCTAGCGAGTTTTGGCGCTCTATCATGGCAGAGAACTTATTATTCTCGTCAAACTGACTTTTGGTCATGGAAGCTCCTAATGGCGTCTTTTCTATTTTACCTTATCAAGACAACAACCCTTCATGCACCCTATCGCTTCGTCTACAATAAGGAGCAATTAACTGCTGATCACAATCCAATTTTTTTTCAATGAACCATACAAGAGTAATTTAGAGAAGCTCGAACGTGTCGTAATTCGCGCTTGTCACGGTAGCCTGTAGAAAGGTACTAGATTACCTTTCATGGTCGTTTACTGTGATAGATAAATGAACCACTAATTTTAAATGGAGCCTTCCCATCCCTGAATATTTCCTTAGTCCCCACGTCATAAAGAAAGCTTATTAGAGCATAACCCATACGCGCATGCAGGTTGACAAACTGAGTGTTTGTAGCCGTGTTCTCGACATTTTTCGTATTGAAATTCGTTGTAACAAAGCGAGATGTAAAAAGAAAACGAAGCGAAGACCCGGAAAGAACGCAATAGAGGACACCTATTCTATGAGATAGGATTTAAAAGTATTTTTTGGAGCTTATTTTACCCGCACATGGATGAAGGAGTTGTCAGATTCACTCCCTTTTGTTTCGTTAAGTAAACGCTGAATACGATCACTTCTGAATGATTAGATTGTGTGTAAAATGTAACCGTTCAGCATACCGTATAATGCGGTACATCCTGCTTAAACGAGAAGTTACGATAGTGCATACACCTCAAGATCGTACTTGGTACGACAGTCAACCGCAAATCTCTCATCTCTCTATGGATCTTGCACTACGACACGTTCGGTAACACACCTCATCATTCTGCACTGGCGGTACTTGTGACACAAATATACCCACCGTTTCTAACATGAATCCCTTTTTTGTTAATAGTGGGGTAGATATCACAGCGGCTCTAAATTATTGTGAAGGTTGACGATCTTTTTTTTCTTAATCCTTAATGTATGACTAAATAACAAGCGGAACTCATTTTCACGTAAACACGCACAATGTCGTTTTAGACGCTTAAATGTGTCGATAAGAAGAAGCCTAGCAAAGTACAGTATCGCGCGGTGTTTATGATTACAGTGAATCATAATAATAGCCACACGATACTATACTGTGATACACATTTTACGGCTCATTTATCCGTCGTGTGACATCTATGTCGCTGTTTTCTGCTGTTCTGTAAATGTACATACATGCTTTTTATCGTCTTCATTGTCACTAACTCTGTCATTTTCGTCTTCTTCATTTTCCTCTCTTAATTCCAAATTCTTGTTAAGTTAAACTTTTATACGAAACATTAAAATGTAATTTGAAGCTGCGCGTGACCGTTTTGCATTTTTTCGATAATTGTAGGAGAGTTTGCTCTTAACGGTGTAGAATTGTTTCCTTACAGAATACTTGCCAAAGATCGGATAGTAAATATTGCATACAATTACTAGACGTAGACGTAGATAATTTCGTACCCATATTCATACAAATTATAGGCAAACAGTGTGCGCAGATCATTGCCGCCATCTTGTCTCCCCATGGTATTGCCCTACCTTAAGGCAAAGACGATCGGTGGGGCCCGCTAGGCCACTGGACGATGCCAATAGTCTAAACAATTTTTCGACCTGTGAGGGGACGCTATAGGAACAAGTATACTTAGCACTAAATATTGACCAATGGCAACCTTTTTCTTAATATGCATACTTAACGAAAGACAAAGGGAGTAAATCGAATCAAAAAGGTTGTAAGATAAACCTTTCCGTGACTTATAGGTATCCAACATTCTGTGAATCATGTGCTATTGCCCGCATACTAATTTAAAGTGGCCGCCTATAGATTAAGTAGTTTTCCTATTGATACAAATTTAATTAACTCGAAGTTAAATTATCGCCGTAAGAAATACGTCGCAAGAACTTACCCTTGCAGATTGGATTGCACCGGTACTCTTTAATGCTTTCCCTAAATCATAACACGCACGGTTAACGAGAGCTGTCGTCAGGTCCTTGTGGTGTGGTCCGAGAAGTCCTTTCGTCATGATGTCCGCCAAGATCACCGTCGTTTCGCAGTACTCAAGCTTGACATCACCGCGCTTGACTTCGTCACGGATGTGATAACATTTTATGTCAATGCGCTTGGCACGGCCGTGGTTGACAGGAATCTTCGTCATCTTGATGCACGATTGATTACCTTCATCGATCATGAGGTCAGGTCCTTCCTCGCTAGCAGCCGTCATGATCTCACACCGCAAGCAATGGATCCACTTGCCTTCCTATTTCTACAACCTTACCAACCTAGCGCGATGTACTCCGCCTCGCGGAGTAGAGGGCGACACGCTTGGCTACTTTCCGATGCCCTAGCTCACGGGTGCGTCTAAAAGCAATAACACGTGGCTCGACGTCGACTTGCAGTCTGCAAAATTACTGGGCCAATCGGCATCCTAATAGCCACGGAAGTAGATCTTCGCACTTGGCTTGTAGCAAATTCCATGCGTTTTGGTGCTTTGTATATAGCAAACTCAGCTAAAAAAATTGCTTGAGCCAAACTTAGTGTTCTTCTTAGCGAACCTCCATCAACCGCGATACGTATATCTCACAGCGTAGGCAACGTCCAGTCGTGTCACAGTCGTCTGGAGCATTAAAGTGTCCACTGCATTGATTATTGTTATGTCAACCTTGGTGTCCACATTGCTGGAAACAGTCGAGAGCTCACGTCCACAGGACTTGTCACATCCTTACATTAATCCATACTAAAGCGTTTGAGAACGTTTTTGACCAAACGGAGCTGACGCATAGTCATGCTGCCATATCTAACGTCCAAAAGCTCAACTTTAAGCACAAATGCACAATTGCCACTGTACACCATCTCGAAGCGTCACGTGAGATCGTTCTTGCTATGCGCAATCAGTTCAGGCGAGCTTTTTAAACACCAGCACGTCTTCCAAGTAGACCAGTAAAGGCACGCAACGTCCTTCCTTTGTCATGATGTGGAGACATGTATCGAATCACGATGCTTTAAACGATCAAGCGTATGAAGTCATCAAAAGCTTCGTCCCTTCAAGCAAGGCTTGCTTATGACCGTGATTGCCTTGGCCAACTTATAAAATTCGAAGTCACCGTCCATTCTAAAGCCTTCGGGAACGACGCAGAATGTCTTCTCCTTCATCACTCCATAACGGAGAGCTGTCACTACATCATATTGATCGAGGGGGCATCCTGAATGCTTGACAATTTCTAAGACCATTCATAATGTCACTATTTGACCAAGGGTGAGAACGTCTCCGTGTAGTCGGTACCATATCTCTGGCAAAAACACCTAGCCACAAGTCGTGCCTTGTATATCTTGATTGACACATTCGCCTTGCGCTTTATCTTGAAGACCGATTTGGTACCAATAAAACCTTAACCACTGGGCAGCTTGGATGCTCGGAACACACCGAAAAGTTTTATTGAGTCGAGTTCCGCATCGATTGACTTGCGCCAATGTACTTGGTCCGGACCACTCAATGTTTTTTCGCAGGTGTAGTGGGTACATTTAGTGTGTCGAACGACCGAAGTTTGCCCTCTTCGGCGGGGCCTACAAATCCACTACCACATGGCCATTAGTTACTGAATTATCTGGGTATAGCCAGTCCAGGGCCCCCGACTCTTTTATGTCGGGGATCAATGCTTACACGAGAGGCCTAGCTCAATGGCACATGAGTTTTGGGTGGTACAACTGAAACTTGTGTGTCACACATTTTTTAACGGGCTTGGGTTGGTTGTACATGAAAACGAGCTGTAATCGGAACGGCGTTGCTGACCCAAGGCACCGGGGGAACCCCTTGGGCCACTCACCGCTTCTTCAAATGTCGATGGCTCCGAAAATTACATTGTTGCCTCGGCAACGTTTACACTTGCATGCCAAAACGCGTCGGACTATCATACTGACTGATCTTCGGACTTATCTATTTCCTTTTTATTAGGTCGATCCTACGAGCAGTCGTCCGGCACACTTAATTCTTCTTTCGAACCAAGTAGTCGACGTACTGCACGAGGCATGCTTGTAGCTTCATCGTCGTTACTAAGCGTATTGTACTTTCCTGTTTGTTGGAACTACTTGTGACAAGGATCTTCGTCATCCAGACCGAGTGATTTAAGGTCCACTTAATCAACGTATTCATCTAAAGTCATCATCGAAAGGCAAAATGCTGACTCATCAAATTTGACATTGCGAATGATCGCCACCTGCCCCGCAGCGATGCCATAAACTCGACACACCTTGAAAACTTATTCGTATCGCTGAAATAATCCAGCACGAGTCTCGAAATTCACTTGAATCGTTTTTCCTTCGAGGTCAGTATGTGCTTCTGACAGCCAAATACTCGCATGTGCTTGACACTTGGCTTATAATTGTAGGCAAGCTCGAAAGGAGTCTTGTGCGGGAACTTGGGCGATGGCACACGTTTCTTCACATAGATAGCTGTCATTGCCACTTCAGCCCAGCTATGTAACATCTGTTTATTATGGCAAGATGGAGCATGCAGCGACAGATTGATATGATAGTCCAAGTCGCACGTTCACAAGTTCCGTTTACTTGATGTGCATACGGAACCGTATTTGCTTCTCGATACCGTCTGCTGCGTTGAAGCTTTCACGCGTGTTGGTCGCAAACTCGCAGGCTTCATCGTGTTGCACAAACTTGACCTTCTTGCCAAATTGAATACGGATCACGTGATAAGCTTTTTGGCATATATTCACTCTTCGACTTGGCACGCAGACGAAACCCCTTCATGTAGCCGCTGGCTCCAACCACAATCAGCAGCAGATACTTGCCGTCACCATCAACTTCTCTTCCATGAGCACACAGATGCTGAAGTGAAGCATCTCAAAAGGTGCCACAGCTGCTCTTGTCGCGGTTGCTTGGAAACGTTTTTTAACCATCTCCTCTTCTTGACTGTTGACGGTCATCGGTTTTCTACCAGTATTGGTAACCGTGACCGATCCAATCCGAACCGCCTGTTCAGCTTAGTATTTACGACGTAGTTCTTACGGTAATTACCATAGTTGATGAGACGCGTAGGATGATGAGACGCTTCACATGATTTATATGTACACCACATATAAATCATGTAGTAAGTAGTAAGCCCCGATAATCAATCACTTTCGAATCTTCCAACTATTGGGCAAGTGTTTTCTGCTCTACTCTCTTCGGTCTCTCCGCTCCGTTCGCTCCGCTTTCCTCGCTCCGATCTACAATACAACAGGTTATGAGCCCAAGCGCCATGTCGTCCACCAGCAACGCCTCCATTGACAAGTTCAACGGAGACAATTACGCAACGTGGAGCCGGTACATGCGCGGTGTGTTTTTGACGAAGTCCGTCTGGCACGTCGTCAACCGTGAAGTGACTCCGACTTTCACCGACCCGCGAGCGTCCGATGACTATGTCAAGGCAAGCAACGTCGCGTTTGGTATGATGCTGCTGCACATGAACGCGGACTACCATCATGTGCTGGACAACTGCGAGGAAGCCTGGGTTGCGTGGACAAGTCTGAAGACGCTGTACGGTGGGTCGCAGAAGGCAGGACGCATCTACCTCAAGCGACAACTTTTCAGTATCAAGATGGCTGAAGGCGCGAACGTCATGCATCACTGCAACGAGGTCCTCAACATCTCCGCCAAGCTTAGCGGCATCGGTGCGAAGATGGAAGACGAAGACGTTGCAATTTGTCTGCTACTCAGTCTTCCGAAGAGCTACGAAAATGTGGTGCTCAACATGGAAATGAGCAGCACCGAGCTTCGCACTCAAGATGTGGTGAGAGTCCTGACGAATGAGCATGCCAAGCGTCAAGGAGAAAAGGGGACAACGACAGCGACTACGGTGAAGGCTGAAGATGCAAGCAAGGCATTCAGCGCCGAGCGTGAGCCCTACCAATGCACGTATTGTGGCAAGGTGGGACACACGGTGGATCGTTGCTGGACAAAGCAGAAGAACGAAGGTCAGGGAGCCCGACGCGGCGGCAATGGTCGTGGACGCGGGGCTAACAATGTCCAGTGGGGACATCATGATGAAGGCAATGGCTACGATCGAGTGGCGTTTGCAGTCTCGTTCGAATGTGGAGTTTCGACGAGCAAGGACGTGTCTGGAATGTGGGCCGTCGACAGTGGTGCAACGCACCACATTTGCCACGACAAGACCAAGTTCGCAAGTTTGGCAGAGCGCAATGAGGGCGAACTCTTGGTGGCTGATGGCAACAAGGTGGCCATCAAGGGTGTGGGAACCATCATGGAAAAGGTGGTTCTGCCCAACGGTGAAGAGCGTGAGATCGAAATCAAGAACGCGCTATATGTTCCAAGTATGAGCAAGAACCTGCTCTCGGTGCCACAGATTAACAGCCATGGCAAGTTTCAAGTCGTGTTTGACGGGTCCAAGATGTATGTGACTCTCAAGAACTCACAGCAAGTGGTGGCGACAGCGGATCTCGTGGATGGACTCTACTGGCTTCGGACGACTCAACGATCAGCGAATGTGACAACAAGTGGAACCAGTTGTGCCGATCTACATGCGAGAATGGGTCATGCTCCAGTCGATGTACTTCGCAAGATGATCGCGACCAACATGATCAAGGATGTGCGAGTCCCTCTCAAGTCGGGTGGAGCAACTACATGTCGAGGATGTCAACAAGGGAAAATGGTCCAAAAACCATTTCCAAGCAACCGAGACAAGCGCAGCTACGATACGTTTGAGCTACTTCATCTGGACATCTGCGGGCCCATGGAAAAGGATTCGCTCGGTGGCAGCAAATATTTGCTGCTGATCATCGACGAAGCCAGTGGATGCATGAAGGGCTTTTGTCTACGAGTGAAATCCGAGAGTGAAGACTACATCCGGAAATATATCACCATGGTACAGACGCAATTCTGTAAGAAGGTCAAGTTCGTGCGACACGACGGAGCTCGCGAGTTTGCAACCAACTCGCTTCAACTGTTCTACGAAGACGAAGGCATTGAACAGCAGACAACGGTGCCGTATGCACATCAAACAAACGGAACAGCAGAGCGTGCCATTAGGACTATTGTCACGATCGGCCGCAGCATGCTTCATCATGCCAAACTGGACAAGTGTTTCTGGGCCGAAGCAGCGATGACGGCCATCTACGTCAGAATCGACTGCCGTCACCTAAAGTCGTGCACAAGACCCCGTTTGAGATCGTCTACAACTTGAAACCAAGCGTCAAGCACATGCGAACATTCGGGTGTCAGACATACATACTGACGCCTAAAGAGAATCGACTCAAGTGGGATCCAAAGGCTCGCGCTGGCATATTCGTGGGCTACGAAGAAGTTTCGAAGGCATATCGTGTTTATGACATCGAGGCGGGGCAGGTGGTTATCAGCCGCGATGTCAACTTCGACGAGTCCACCTTTGGACTTCAACTGCCGATCACTGATGAAGATGTCGATGACCTGGACTTCGAATTGCTGGATCTTGATGACGAAGAGCTGCGTCAAATGGAGTACAAGCAAACAGGCAAGCGCAAGAACCGACTCAATGATGAAGATACAGCAGCTCCACGACCGCGTGCAGTGCGTCAACGACCAGGACTAGAAGAGTCAAGCGCGCCGGAAAACAACTCGTCACGCCAAGAAGAAGACGAAGAAACGAAGGATTCTGGTGATTCAACACCGCCTGTGTTTTGGCGTGCGAGTGCAAATGCCGTTGAAGCAGCAGTGGACTTATCAGAGCCCTCAACATTTGAAGCAGCAGTAAGCGGCCCTGACCAAGTGCACTGGAGAAAAGCAATTCATGCAGAGCTCGAGTCAATGCGACTTCGCGGTGTGTTTCGTGCAGCCAAGCTGCCCAACGGACAACGCGCCATTGGCACAAAATGGGTGTTCAAGATCAAGCGCAAGGCGGATGGATCTATCGAGAAGTACAAGGCACGTCTCGCGGCAAAGGGCTTTCGCTCGAAGTATGGAATCGACTACACGGAGACGTTTTCTCCCGTGGTCAAGCATGTGACGCTGAGAATGGTGATCGCAATTTCCAAGCATTTTGGATGGCCCATCGACCAGCTTGATGTGGTGACAGCTTTCCTGTATGGCGTCATGAAGGAACAAGTGTTCTGCGTGATTCCTGAAGGCGTCGAACTTGACAGTACGTTCGACTGCCTGGAATTGGTGAAGGCAATTTACGGCCTGAAGCAAGCTTTGCGAGTATGGAACGAGACTTTTGACGAGTGTGTGTGTTCCATTGGATTTCAAGTGTCAGGCTTCGACCCATGTCTCTACATCAAGACTTCGGACGGCCATTGCGTGTTTATACTGGTCTACGTGGACGACGTCTTGGTGACTGGAAGCTCGCTCGAGCTGATTGCACAAACCAAGAACGACCTGAAGACGCGGTTCGAAATGACGGACAGCGGCAAGTGTGCGTTTGTTCTTGGGATCGAGCTTTGGACGGTGAAGATGGCAGTGTGACACTATGTCAGCGTCGGTATGTCGATGATATCCTCAAGCGCTTTGGCATGGATGATTGCAAGGCAGTCGCAAGTCCAGTCGACATGAGCTCTCGACTTGTTTCAAGTGATGCAACTACCAAGGTCGATGCTCCTTTTCGCGAAGCTGTTGGTGCGTTGATGCACCTGACCACTGCAACGCGTCCGGACATTGCGTTTGCTGTGGGCTATGTGTCGCGGTTCATGGAAAATCCCCAAGAAGAACACTGGGTTGCAGTTAAGCGTATCTTTCGCTACCTACAAGGCACCAAGACGCATGGAATGTGCTACAAGCCAAGTGCAAGGATCGACTTCCGTGGATATTCGGATGCGGATTGGGCTGGTGATCTTACCGACCGCAAGTCAACATCGGGGTACACGTTCATGCTACTCGGTGCGCCAGTCAGTTGGGGCAGCAAGAAGCAGCCAAGTGTTTCGTTGTCCACGAGTGAAGCCGAATACATCGCACTCAGCTTGGCGATTCAAGAGGGCAAGTGGATTCATCGTCTGCTTTGTGAGATCGTGATGGCTGCCAATGAAGAAGGACCGGAACTCATGATTCATGAAGACAATCAGTCATGTATCAAGATGACGAAGAACCCAGTCAACCACGGCCGTGCCAAGCACATTGATATCAAGTACCATCACATCCGTGATGAGGTCAAGCGCGGTGAAGTGAAGCTCAAGTACTGTGAAACTGCGGTGATGTTAGCGGACATCATGACGAAGGGACTCCATGGACCACGCCACAAGGAGATGACGACGGCTCTCGGGATTCGTGAGCATTCGGATTGAGGGGGCGTGTTGACGGTCATCGGTTTTCTACCAGTATTGGTAACCGTGACCGATCCAATCCGAACCGCCTGTTCAGCTTAGTATTTACGACGTAGTTCTTACGGTAATTACCATAGTTGATTAGACGCGTAGGATGATGAGACGCTTCACATGATTTATATGTACACCACATATAAATCATGTAGTAAGTAGTAAGCCCCGATGATCAATCACTTTCGAATCTTCCAACTATTGGGCAAGTGTTTTCTGCTCTACTCTCTTCGGTCTCTCCGCTCCGTTCGCTCCGCTTTCCTCGCTCCGATCTACAATGCAACATTGACATCCTCAACCTAAACTTAGTCCAGTTAGCTTGACAGAGATTTTTGCGTCCTCGATCATATTGTTGGTTAACATCTTGCGGAGTAATTTGACTAGAGTATGGCCCATTTGCGCATGAATATTTAAAGCGCTGTCACTTGATGCCGCATTGGCCAATCTCTGCGCAGTGCAACGCCAGTCGAGTTTATCTACGAGGTCAGCAGCTGCCACTACTTAGTTGGAATCCTTGAAAGCGACATAAATCGTAGCCCTGTCAAATACCACTTGAAACTTGTCGTGCTAGTTAATCTGTGGCACTGAAAGCATTTTTTGCTAATGCTAGGCAGATATAGTGCTTTCTTCTCTCGATTTCGCGTTCTTCCCTGTTTGATAGGGTCACCTTTTTTTTAACGAAATCCTTCGCATCTAATGGCTGCCATGTTGCCATTAGCTACCAGGATCTCGCTATCATTGCCTTCAACCAAGCTTGCAACTTGTACTTGACGTGGCAGATGTTATTCGTTGCACCAATTTCTACGGCCCACATTCCTGATCCATCCTTGTTCGCCAAAACTCCACATTTGAACGAAACTGCAACCGATACTACATCGTAGATGCTGCCTTTCGCATAGTGTCGCCACTGAACGTTGTTTTCCTCGCTTCCACGACCATCGCTGCCACGTCTACGCTCGACCTTAATGATACGTCCAGTAACATTCTGTCGTCTGTCACACCTTGCCGCAATACGTGCGTCGGTATGGCTCGCGCTCGGTACTGAATGCATTTGTTACATCTCTATTTCTCACCGTTGTTGTTGCCGTCATCACCTTCTAGCCTTGTCGCTTTTTGTAATCATCCGTCAGCTCCTTGGTCAGATCTTACGTACGCAGCTCTACATTGCTCATCTTCAAGTTCAGAACACTTTCTCAAGATTCTTCGGGAGACTGAGCAGCAAGCAGATCGCAAGGTCTTCATCTTCCATCTTGGCACCAATTCAGCTTAGCTTAGCGTCGTTGTTCAAGACTTCACTGCAATGGTGCAAGACTGGCGCCTTCCGACATCTTGATGCGGAATAGATGGCTCTTGAGGTAGATGTGTCCCGCCTTCTGCGACCCACCATAGAGCATCTTCAATAGTAACTACGCGACCATGCTTCTTCGTAGTCGTCGACCACATGGTGGTAGTCCGCGTCCATGTGAAGCAACATCAACCCGAACCGAATGCAATTTCGTCCACCTTAACGTATTCATCAAATGATCGCATGTCGGTGAATCTTGGTTCGTTTCACGGTTCCGACGTACCAGACTGACTTCTTCGGAAACACGCCGCGCATGAACGACACCAGGTTGCGTAGTTATATCCATCGATCTTACAAACGGAGACACTAGTCGAGGCGTCGCTGGAGAACATGGCCTTTGGACTTATAATCTGTCTCAACTTAAGCGAGATGTGAAGAGTAAACGAAGTGAAGAGCCCGGAGAGAACGGAGCGAAGAACACTCGTTCACTTAAGAGAGGAATCGAAATCGATCGATTTATCGGAGCTTTTTCTACCTACACATGATTTATATGTTCACACATATATATAAATTATGTGTGCGGCTGTTCACTCCCTGATGTATAGTAACCGCCTATAAATCAAGTAGATCTTTCTATCAATCTACACATCTGATCAACTTTAAGGTAATTACCGTCGTAAGAACTATGCCATAAGAACTTACCCTTGTAGATCTATTGTACCGGTAAACCCTCCATAAAGTCATACAAAGACGGTTATTCAAAGACTTATTGCTGCCCAATGGTTGAGCTGACTCCTTGCGCACGAAATACATACAGAAACACCGAGTAAAACTTGATAAGTGCTACCTTTTGTTGTCAGCGATAGAAATAGCAGATTACTGATCGTGCTTGGCAAGAAGAGTGTGTCCTTAATTTTATCTTGCGCTATACTTCATAAAGTGATGTACCTTCGTACCTTTGATCGTAGCCTTGATTCCGCCAGCCACCGGTTCACCTTCTTCCTGCTCGTTATGTCATTGCACATCGGCCGTGATATTGCATTCTTTGATGCGTTGCGCTGCTGTTGACCACTTCATTTTTTAAAATGTTATTCCCGGTGGAGAATCAGCGTATCAGCAACATAGCCAATGCGGCTTGTTCAAAGTGGCTACAGTCTCTTCGTCCACTATTGTACTTTCTTAAGCCACTTCCAAGCGTCTTGGGCATGCTTGGTATAGCGCCATTCCAAAATTTGCGTCCATTTTACGCACAACATGTACTGACGAGGATCGCGTCGGCAATGATCACCTAAGCTGCGTCTTCAGCATGCATCTCGGCACGCTCGGCAATACCCGCCTGAGCTGCGTCTTAAGCATGCATCATGATAGTTTCGTTCGCTGCACAGGCAATGCTGCACGTCTACCAGCGCCTGAGCAACGCCCAGCACGCGTGCCGACGTTGCTTCTCTTCGAGTTGAGGAACGATGTTGTCATCGATCTTGTGGAGACTGTGCGACAAGCAGATCACCCCTTTTTTGTCCTCCGTCTTCGCAACAATGCTTTTACTAAGAAATCTGTTTATGGTAGAGAGCTGGGGCTACAATTCGAGCTTCAAGGTTAATTATTTATGGTATTGTTTTTGTGACGGTAATTAACTCATGATTGATCAGACGAGTAGACCGATTGGAAAGCCCACATGATTTATTAGTGGACCACATATAAATCAGGATTGAAGCAGAGAGAGATCCGATAGACCAATCACTTTCGAATCATCCTCCTTCCACACAAGTCGTCATCATTCGGTCCAGATTACAAGAGCAGAATTTCTTTGCAAAAGCTTAGGCATCAGTTTCAGCATATCTACGTATCAGCAGAGTAGATGCGGCTAACTTCTTTGATCCACCTTATGGCGCCGCCAGGTGACTAGAAGATATAGGCCCCCTCGCCATTCTCAGCCACGTTATGGTATGTTTGTAAAGAATTCAGTAATATCGTAAACACTATAGACGTTACTTGCACGCTGGATATAACAGGTTTTAAAGAGTCACAAGATAATAGGTGCTATTTAATACGATTTATATTAATTAATAGAGGTATTGAAAACCTGTTTAATCGGATATTTTTTTTGTTCACTGATCAGATGCGCATAGGAATGTATGATTTTTTTAATAAAATTAATTTTGTGCAACATGTAATAAGCACGTAGTAAACATTGTGCACGAAAAAAGAACGCTTTTTTTTTGTCTGACTTTTTCTTTACAAAATCTGACTACACGTTTTGGTCAGCTCATCCGCGTCTGACCCCGTACTTCGCACAACCGCTACTGATCCTGTAAAACCAAGCTTTACATAGACTTAAGGGTAAAGACTAGAAGTCTGCCTTTGTGTGTAGATAACCAATAAACTAGCTTCGTGAGCACCGCAATACCTAGCGGTATGTCGAAGCGTAAGGTGCACTGATTCGATCAACAATTAGAGTCTGTGCCTTCATTCACAATGAAAGCGCTCAAAGTGAATAACGTATTCTTTATTTGTAAAGTTGTATAGTCGCCAAAGCAGTATGAATATGCTTTTTACACTTAAGCGTGTACCTTGTAATGTTATTGGGTAAAGTTGTTATGTGAGGCGTAATAAGAGCCTTGACAGATTTTGAATCCAAGCAGCCTGCATCATTTATGCGGTTACGAACTCTCACATCCGAATTACCCATTTGTAGACATTGAATGGATCCGATTACAGATTTTTTTACATTCGTAAATGTCATCTCAACTTTGTTCAAATCTTGCCCGCACATTAAAACAGTCAAAGCATTGTTAATTCACCATTAGTGATGTGATAGAGGAATAAGCACGAAGCATGGTAAAATCTTACGGCGTTCGCTATCATAAAAAAACTAATCAGCATTAATGAGTAAAGTCAATAATAAATAGTGTTAGTACAATTAAAGTGAAGTAAAGCTAAGAAGAAAGAACACCAATTTTTTCTGCCAAATGCCGCCAACTGCCTGTTCATGTGTCAATAGGTCCTCAGTGTAACGCCATGCGAGTTCTATCATTTATGTAGTTACCTTCCCTTTCAATGTGAGCCCCACTACGACCCGTTTGAGCTTCTACACATCGACAATTGTGGTCCAATGGAAGTCGACTCATTAGGTGGATGCAAGTACTTGCTACTGATCGTAGATGAAGGCAGCGGATGTATAAAGGGTTGCTGTTGCATTGTAGATCGGAGCGAGGAAAGCGGAGCAAACGGAGCGGAGAGACCGAAGAGAGTAGAGCAGAAAACACTTGCCCAATAGTTGGAAGATTCGAAAGTGATTGATTATCGGGGCTTACTACTTACTACATGATTTATATGTGGTGTACATATAAATCATGTGAAGCGTCTCATCATCCTACGCGTCTAATCAACTATGGTAATTACCGTAAGAACTACGTCGTAAATACTAAGCTGAACAGGCGGTTCGGATTGGATCGGTCACGGTTACCAATACTGGTAGAAAACCGATGACCGTCAACAAATCCACTTGCCCTCTTGAATCGCCAAGCTGAGTGCGATGTATTCGGCTTCACTCGTGGACAACGAAACACTTGGCTGCTTCTTGCTGCCCCAACTGACTGGCGCACCGAGTAGCATGAACGTGTACCCCGATGTTGACTTGCGGTCGGTAAGATCACCAGCCCAATCCGCATCCGAATATCCACGGAAGTCGATCCTTGCACTTGGCTTGTAGCAAATTCCATGCGTCTTGGTGCCTTGTAGGTAGCGAAAGATACGCTTAACTGCAACCCAGTGTTCTTCTTGGGGATTTTCCATGAACCGCGACACATAGCCCACAGCAAACGCAATGTCCGGACGCGTTGCAGTGGTCAGGTGCATCAACGCACCAACAGCTTCGCGAAAAGGAGCATCGACCTTGGTAGTTGCATCACTTGAAACAAGTCGAGAGCTCATGTCGACTGGACTTGCGACTGCCTTGCAATCATCCATGCCAAAGCGCTTGAGGATATCATCGACATACCGACGCTGACATAGTGTCACACTGCCATCTTCACCGTCCAAAAGCTCGATCCCAAGAACAAACGCACACTTGCCGCTGTCCGTCATTTCGAACCGCGTCTTCAGGTCGTTCTTGGTTTGTGCAATCAGCTCGAGCGAGCTTCCAGTCACCAAGACGTCGTCCACGTAGACCAGTATAAACACGCAATTGCCGTCCGAAGTCTTGATGTAGAGACATGGGTCGAAGTCCGATACTTGAAATTGTTGAAAAGACAGCGGCTGTGAAGAAGACACCTCGTCAAGCTGCGTCAAGTGTTGAAGCAAGTGGAAGACCAAGCTTCGCTATACCGGTGGGTACCGGTATGTACCAGTAAGGGCGAAGTCAGGAAATGACGTCACTGGATGACGTCATTGCATGACGTCAGTGGGTGACGTCAGTGGGTGACGTCACTGGATGACGTCACTGCGAATAATAGGCTTAGAGGTAGTATTCAAAGTTGCGAACTAAGTACCTATTATAAATATATATTTACTTTGCGTTTTGCACTCGGACCAAGAAGTCTAAAGTTCATCAGGTTATGAGCCCAAGTTCGTCAGACTCTGAAACCGCCAACAATTCAAGCTTAGCTGCCATGGACGCCTCCTCCCTCCGCATCTCCAAGTTCGATGGAACTAACTTCCACGCCTGGAAGTTCAAGATGCAGATGGTGCTGGAGGAACGGGACCTATGGGAGGTCGTCAGCGGTGAGATCAAGGCGGAACAGTGCGAGACTCAGTTGGACCAAGCGACGTACAAGAGGAAGTCAAGAAAGGCGATGGCAGTGATCTGTCTAGCCATGGAAGATTCCCAGCTACCGTTGGTCCGGTCGGCAAGTGGTGCATGCGACGCATGGTCAAGGTTGGAAGACCACTTCGAGAAGAAGAGTCTTGCCAACAAGCTGTTCTTGCGCCGTCGCTTCTTCACGACAATGATGGAAGAAGGCGACGATGTGCTCGAACACATCAACAAGCTCAAGACGCTGGCGGAACAGCTAGAAGCGGTGGGGGCTCCAGTCTGCGAGGACGATCTGGTGATCACACTCCTCGGCAGCCTGAGTGACTCGTATCAATTCTTGATCACAGCTTTGGAGTCGCGCTCAGACACTCTTAGCTGGGAGCTCGTGACGTCTCGACTGCTTCATGAAGAAATGAAGCGGAAGGAGCAAGGAAGTAAAGGTGATGAAGCTTCGCAAGGTCAAGCGTTCATCACAAGGGACAATCAGCGCAAAGGGCGACCAGTGAAGAAGTCCTGGCCGTGCCACAATTGCGGAAAGATTGGTCACTGGATGGCGGAGTGCCCCTCGCGCATCCAAGAAAACACGGAGAGACACCGGCCACAGCGTGCTCAAGACAGCGGCGACCGCTATCGATCACAACGTGCAAACGTCGCTCAAGAAGAAGACTCGGGCGACTACCTCTTTTCGATCGGTGAAACGACATCTGCGAAATCGAGCGACATCTGGCTGGTCGACTCCGGGGCGACGCAGCACATGACGTGCTCCAAGAAGTTCATGCGGAACTACAAGGGGGTTTGACGCTGTGGATGTCCATCTCGCGGATGATGGAATCGTCCAAGCAATCGGCAGTGGGGACATTGTCATGTCGATGAAGACACCCCAAGGGATGAAGAAAGGTGTGCTCACAAACGTGTGGCACATCCCAAAGTTATCCAGAAACCTGTTCTCGGTCGGCCGCTTCACCAAGGATGTCGGCCCAGTGACGTTCACGAAGGATGGGTGCTATGGAGAAGCGAAAGGGACCAAGTGGAAAATTGGTGCCCGTGAAGGTAAAGGACTGTTCAAGCTGCAAATGACTCCAGTGGCGCCGGAACAAGCAAATGCAGCCAAGTCGTCGGGATGTCAAGGGGGCACCAAGTCGTACCTCTGGCACCTTCGGCTTGGCCACATAGGTCACGATGGACTCAATTGCATCGTGACGAAGAACATTGGAATTGGCATCGACATATCTTCGGTGAAGAAGTGGGACGTGTGTGAAGGTTGTGCTCTGGGAAAACAGACTCGAGTGCGCTTCCAATCAAACACTACAGCTCGCACCTCCAAACTCCTCGAAGTGATTCACAGCGACGTATGCGGACCGATGTCGATGGCAACTTTCAGTGGAAAACGGTACTTCGTGACATTCATTGATGACAAGTCAAGATACTGTGTCGTCTATCTGCTCAAGAGCAAATCTGAAGTTGCGGCGAAGTTCATGGAATACGCTGCGATGGCCGAAACGCAAACCGGAAAGCGCGTGAAGTACCTTCAAAGCGACAATGGGGGTGAATACAAGTCCGACAAGCTGGCACGATTCTGCGCGGAACGGGGAATACAACAAAGGTTCACACCCCCATATACTCCTCAGCTAAACGGAGTAGCTGAGAGAATGAATCGCACGCTGGTCGAGTGTGCGCGTTGCATGATGGAACACGCTGGACTGGGAAAGAGCTACTGGGGTGAAGCAGTGATGACGGCGATGTTTCTTCGAAACCGCTGTCCAACACGTGCCATTCACCAAGACAAGTCTCCATATCAAGTGTGGACGATGAAGAAACCGATTCTGGCCAACCTTAAAGTGTTTGGATGCCACGCGTATGTTCAAGTGCCTCAAGACAAACGCGCGAAGTTCGACTCCAAGTCATCACTCTGTCGTTTCCTGGGATACGCCGAACACCAGAAGTCATATCGATTTGAGGAAGTGTCAACAGGAGCGATCAAGATCAGTCGCGATGCCACATTCATGGAAGACAAGTTTGATGAAGGTCCGCGCAACTACAACGATGAGTCAAGTGTCGTTGAGTTTGATGATCATGATGAGGACGAAGAAAAAGAAGAAGGTAAAACTGACGACGACATGGACTCGAGCGACGATGACAACGAAGACACCAGGTCTTCGAAGAGCAACATCAAGAGACACACGCGCACTCAATCACTTGAGAAAGCTACCGTCATTCAAGTCCCAAGCGAAGAACATACAGAGGTCCGTCGCTTGAGCATGTGTCAGCGGCTGCAATGGATTTTGAAGCAGCCTACATCGTTGATTCAGTGGGGGAAACGCCAACTACATTCAAGTCGGCGATGGAATCAAGCGACTCCGGCAAGTGGAAAGAAGCGTGTGACTCGGAGTTCGATTCGCTTCAGAGAAACGACACGTGGGAAATCGTGCCTCTTCCGAAAGGTCGCAAGGCCATCGGGTGCCGATGGGTTTTCGTGTAAAGGAGAATCAAGATGGCGAAGTTGAACGTTTCAAGGCAAGACTTGTGGCCAAAGGATTCTCACAGAAATTCGGAGTTGACTATGAAGAAACTTTCGCACCGGTGGCCAAGTTCACATCGATTCGTGTGGTGCTCAGTATGGCGGCCAAGTACGGCCTAATGCTACATCAGATGGACGTCAAGACAGCGTTTCTTAACGGCTCCCTCAACGAAGACATCTACATGGACCAGCCGGACGGATACCTGGATGCAACACAGCCGGACTATGTGTGCAAGCTAAAGAGATCACTCTACGGCTTGAAGCAATCGCCTCGCATGTGGAACCAAACAATCGATGGGTTCATGATCAAGATGGGATTCAAGAAGTGCGAATCGGACCACTGCATCTACATCAAGCGAGACGACCAAGACATGATTCTCGTGGTGCTCTACGTCGATGATCTCATCCTGGCCAGCAGCAACAACGAACTCCTCAAGTCAACCAAGATGGCGCTGAGCAAACGCTTCGAAATGACGGATCTCGGTGAGCTCGATTACTTTCTCGGCATGGAGATCAAGAACGACCGTAAGACGGGAATGGTGACTGTACAACAAACCAAGTTTCTCAAGTCCGTGTTAACCAAGTTCGGAATGGATAACAGCAAGCCAGTGAAGACGCCTCAAGATCCCGGCCTGAAGCTAACCAAGAACATGTGTGAACAAGAATGCAAGCACGAAGACACCATGTGCAACGTGCCATATCGAAGTGCTGTCGGAGGCATCATGTATCTCATGGTCGCCACACGTCCGGATCTAGCTGCTGCAGTGGGATCATTATCCCAGTTCTCGTCCGACCCATGCCCGACTCACTGGCAAGCTTTGAAGCGTGTGCTGAGATACCTGCAAGCAACGCCCAATCATGGTCTTGAGTTTACACGTGAAGAAGGAAGCCGTATCTGCGGGTACACCGACGCAGACTGGGCCGGCGACATTGAGTCAAGACGAAGTACAAGCGGCTATGTGTTCATGATGAGCGGAGGATGCATCAGCTGGAAAAGCCAGAAACAACGGACGGTCGCGCTATCTTCAACAGAAGCAGAATACATGGCGCTTTCCGAAGCAACCAAAGAAGCAGTATGGCTCAAAGTGCTTTTGGGGGAACTTGGTGAGATGACAAGCGACGAAGCGATCAAGATGTATGAAGACAACCAAGGATCAATCGCTCTCGCCAAGAACCCGGAGTTCCATAAGAGAACAAAACACATCGACATACGCTACCATTTTGTGCGTGAGAAGGTGGAATCAGGTGAAGTCGTTTTGGAGTATTGCCCGACTCAAGATATGCTGGCAGACATGATGACCAAGCCGATCGCCGCTGTACAATTTGAAAACATTCGCGATCGACTTGGGATCCAAGGTGCCGCAGCCAACGAGTCGAGAGGGAGTGTTGAAAAGACAGCGGCTGTGAAGAAGACACCTCGTCAAGCTGCGTCAAGTGTTGAAGCAAGTGGAAGACCAAGCTTCGCTATACCGGTGGGTACCGGTATGTACCAGTAAGGGCGAAGTCAGGAAATGACGTCACTGGATGACGTCATTGCATGACGTCAGTGGGTGACGTCAGTGGGTGACGTCACTGGATGACGTCACTGCGAATAATAGGCTTAGAGGTAGTATTCAAAGTTGCGAACTAAGTACCTATTATAAATATATATTTACTTTGCGTTTTGCACTCGGACCAAGAAGTCTAAAGTTCATCAGAAATCCGATGGAGCACACATACTCGTCGAACGTCTCGTTCCACACTCGCGACGCTTGCTTGAGGCCGTAAATTGACTTCACCAATTCCAGACAGTCGAACGTACTGTCAAGCTCGACGCCTTCAGGAATCACGCAGAACACTTGTTCCTTCATGACGCCATACAGGAAAGCTGTCACCACATCAAGCTGGTCGATGGGCCATCCAAAATGCTTGGAAATTGCGATCACCATTCGCAGCGTCACGTACTTGACCACAGGCGAAAACGTCTCCGTGTAGTCGATGCCATACTTTTGGCGGAAACCCTTGGCCACAAGTCGTGCCTTGTACTTCTCGATTGACCCATCCGCCTTGCGCTTGATCTTGAACACCCATTTTGTGCCAATGGCGCGTTGTCCGTTGGGCAGCTTGGCTGCACGAAACACACCGCGAAGTCGCATTGACTCGAGCTCTGCATGAATTGCTTTTCTCCAGTGCACTTGGTCAGGGCCGCTTACTGCTGCTTCAAATGTTGAGGGCTCTGATAAGTCCACTGCTGCTTCAACGGCATTTGCACTCGCACGCCAAAACACAGGCGGTGTTGAATCACCAGAATCCTTCGTTTCTTCGTCTTCTTCTTGTCGTGACGAGTTGTTTTCCGGCGCGCTTGACTCTTCTAGTCCTGGTCGTTGACGCACTGCACGCGGTCGTGGAGCTGCTGTATCTTCATCATTGAGTCGGTTCTTGCGCTTGCCTGTTTGCTTGTACTCCATTTGACGCAGCTCTTCGTCATCAAGATCCAGCAATTCGAAGTCCAGGTCATCGACATCTTCATCAGTGATCGGCAGTTGAAGTCCAAAGGTGGACTCGTCGAAGTTGACATCGCGGCTGATAACCACCTGCCCCGCCTCGATGTCATAAACACGATATGCCTTCGAAACTTCTTCGTAGCCCACGAATATGCCAGCGCGAGCCTTTGGATCCCACTTGAGTCGATTCTCTTTAGGCGTCAGTATGTATGTCTGACACCCGAATGTTCGCATGTGCTTGACGCTTGGTTTCAAGTTGTAGACGATCTCAAACGGGGTCTTGTGCACGACTTTAGGTGACGGCAGTCGATTCTTGACGTAGATGGCCGTCATCGCTGCTTCGGCCCAGAAACACTTGTCCAGTTTGGCATGATGAAGCATGCTGCGGCCGATCGTGACAATAGTCCTAATGGCACGCTCTGCTGTTCCGTTTGTTTGATGTGCATACGGCACCGTTGTCTGCTGTTCAATGCCTTCGTCTTCGTAGAACAGTTGAAGCGAGTTGGTTGCAAACTCGCGAGCTCCGTCGTGTCGCACGAACTTGACCTTCTTACAGAATTGCGTCTGTACCATGGTGATATATTTCCGGATGTAGTCTTCACTCTCGGACTTCACTCGTAGACAAAAGCCCTTCATGCATCCACTGGCTTCGTCGATGATCAGCAGCAAATATTTGCTGCCACCGAGCGAATCCTTTTCCATGGGCCCGCAGATGTCCAGATGAAGTAGCTCAAACGTATCGTAGCTGCGCTTGTCTCGGTTGCTTGGAAATGGTTTTTGGACCATTTTCCCTTGTTGACATCCTCGACATGTAGTTGCTCCACCCGACTTGAGAGGGACTCGCACATCCTTGATCATGTTGGTCGCGATCATCTTGCGAAGTACATCGACTGGAGCATGACCCATTCTCGCATGTAGATCGGCACAACTGGTTCCACTTGTTGTCACATTCGCTGATCGTTGAGTCGTCCGAAGTGATGAACTTTAGACTTCTTGGTCCGAGTGCAAAACGCAAAGTGAATATATATTTATAATAGGTACTTAGTTCGCAACTTTGAATACTACCTCTAAGCCTATTATTCGCAGTGACGTCATCCAGTGACGTCACCCACTGACGTCATGCAATGACGTCATCCAGTGACGTCATTTCCTGACTTCGCCCTTACTGGTACATACCGGTACCCACCGGTATAGCGAAGCTTGGTCTTCCACTTGCTTCAACACTTGACGCAGCTTGACGAGGTGTCTTCTTCACAGCCGCTGTCTTTTCAACACTCCCTCTCGACTCGTTAGCTGCGGCACCTTGGATCCCAAGTCGATCGCGAATGTTTTCAAATTGTACAGCGGCGATCGGCTTGGTCATCATGTCTGCCAGCATATCTTGAGTCGGGCAATACTCCAAAACGACTTCACCTGATTCCACCTTCTCACGCACAAAATGGTAGCGTATGTCGATGTGTTTTGTTCTCTTATGGAACTCCGGGTTCTTGGAGAGAGCGATTGATCCTTGGTTGTCTTCATACATCTTGATCGCTTCGCCGCTTGTCATCTCACCAAGTTCCCCCAAAAGCACTTTGAGCCATACTGCTTCTTTGGTTGCTTCGGAAAGCGCCATGTATTCTGCTTCTGTTGAAGATAGCGCGACCGTCCGTTGTTTCTGGCTTTTCCAGCTGATGCATCCTCCGCTCATCATGAACACATAGCCGCTTGTACTTCGTCTTGACTCAATGTCACCGGCCCAGTCTGCGTCGGTGTACCCGTAGATACGGCTTCCTTCTTCACGTGTAAACTCAAGACCATGATTGGGCGTTGCTTGCAGGTATCTCAGCACACGCTTCAAAGCTTGCCAGTGAGTCGGGCATGGGTCGGACGAGAACTGGGATAATGATCCCACTGCAGCAGCTAGATCCGGACGTGTGGCGACCATGAGATACATGATGCCTCCGACAGCACTTCGATATGGCACGTTGCACATGGTGTCTTCGTGCTTGCATTCTTGTTCACACATGTTCTTGGTTAGCTTCAGGCCGGGATCTTGAGGCGTCTTCACTGGCTTGCTGTTATCCATTCCGAACTTGGTTAACACGGACTTGAGAAACTTGGTTTGTTGTACAGTCACCATTCCCGTCTTACGGTCGTTCTTGATCTCCATGCCGAGAAAGTAATCGAGCTCACCGAGATCCGTCATTTCGAAGCGTTTGCTCAGCGCCATCTTGGTTGACTTGAGGAGTTCGTTGTTGCTGCTTGCCAGGATGAGATCATCGACGTAGAGCACCACGAGAATCATGTCTTGGTCGTCTCGCTTGATGTAGATGCAGTGGTCCGATTCGCACTTCTTGAATCCCATCTTGATCATGAACCCATCGATTGTTTGGTTCCACATGCGAGGCGATTGCTTCAAGCCGTAGAGTGATCTCTTTAGCTTGCACACATAGTCCGGCTGTGTTGCATCCAGGTATCCGTCCGGCTGGTCCATGTAGATGTCTTCGTTGAGGGAGCCGTTAAGAAACGCTGTCTTGACGTCCATCTGATGTAGCATTAGGCCGTACTTGGCCGCCATACTGAGCACCACACGAATCGATGTGAACTTGGCCACCGGTGCGAAAGTTTCTTCATAGTCAACTCCGAATTTCTGTGAGAATCCTTTGGCCACAAGTCTTGCCTTGAAACGTTCAACTTCGCCATCTTGATTCTCCTTTACACGAAAAACCCATCGGCACCCGATGGCCTTGCGACCTTTCGGAAGAGGCACGATTTCCCACGTGTCGTTTCTCTGAAGCGAATCGAACTCCGAGTCACACGCTTCTTTCCACTTGCCGGAGTCGCTTGATTCCATCGCCGACTTGAATGTAGTCGGCGTTTCCCCCACTGAATCAACGATGTAGGCTGCTTCAAAATCCATTGCAGCCGCTGACACATGCTCAAGCGACGGACCTCTGTATGTTCTTCGCTTGGGACTTGGAATGACGGTAGCTTTCTCAAGTGATTGAGTGCGCGTGTGTCTCTTGATGTTGCTCTTCGAAGACCTGGTGTCTTCGTTGTCATCGTCGCTCGAGTCCATGTCGTCGTCAGTTTTACCTTCTTCTTTTTCTTCGTCCTCATCATGATCATCAAACTCAACGACACTTGACTCATCGTTGTAGTTGCGCGGACCTTCATCAAACTTGTCTTCCATGAATGTGGCATCGCGACTGATCTTGATCGCTCCTGTTGACACTTCCTCAAATCGATATGACTTCTGGTGTTCGGCGTATCCCAGGAAACGACAGAGTGATGACTTGGAGTCGAACTTCGCGCGTTTGTCTTGAGGCACTTGAACATACGCGTGGCATCCAAACACTTTAAGGTTGGCCAGAATCCGGTTTCTTCATCGTCCACACTTGATATGGAGACTTGTCTTGGTGAATGGCACGTGTTGGACAGCGGTTTCGAAGAAACATCGCCGTCATCACTGCTTCACCCCAGTAGCTCTTTCCCAGTCCAGCGTGTTCCATCATGCAACGCGCACACTCGACCAGCGTGCGATTCATTCTCTCAGCTACTCCGTTTAGCTGAGGAGTATATGGGGGTGTGAACCTTTGTTGTATTCCCCGTTCCGCGCAGAATCGTGCCAGCTTGTCGGACTTGTATTCACCCCCATTGTCGCTTTGAAGGTACTTCACGCGCTTTCCGGTTTGCGTTTCGGCCATCGCAGCGTATTCCATGAACTTCGCCGCAACTTCAGATTTGCTCTTGAGCAGATAGACGACACAGTATCTTGACTTGTCATCAATGAATGTCACGAAGTACCGTTTTCCACTGAAAGTTGCCATCGACATCGGTCCGCATACGTCGCTGTGAATCACTTCGAGGAGTTTGGAGGTGCGAGCTGTAGTGTTTGATTGGAAGCGCACTCGAGTCTGTTTTCCCAGAGCACAACCTTCACACACGTCCCACTTCTTCACCGAAGATATGTCGATGCCAATTCCAATGTTCTTCGTCACGATGCAATTGAGTCCATCGTGACCTATGTGGCCAAGCCGAAGGTGCCAGAGGTACGACTTGGTGCCCCCTTGACATCCCGACGACTTGGCTGCATTTGCTTGTTCCGGCGCCACTGGAGTCATTTGCAGCTTGAACAGTCCTTTACCTTCACGGGCACCAATTTTCCACTTGGTCCCTTTCGCTTCTCCATAGCACCCATCCTTCGTGAACGTCACTGGGCCGACATCCTTGGTGAAGCGGCCGACCGAGAACAGGTTTCTGGATAACTTTGGGATGTTCCACACGTTTGTGAGCACACCTTTCTTCATCCCTTGGGGTGTCTTCATCGACATGACAATGTCCCCACTGCCGATTGCTTGGACGATTCCATCATCCGCGAGATGGACATCCACAGCGTCAAACCCCTTGTAGTTCCGCATGAACTTCTTGGAGCACGTCATGTGCTGCGTCGCCCCGAGTCGACCAGCCAGATGTCGCTCGATTTCGCAGATGTCGTTTCACCGATCGAAAAGAGGTAGTCGCCCGAGTCTTCTTCTTGAGCGACGTTTGCACGTTGTGATCGATAGCGGTCGCCGCTGTCTTGAGCACGCTGTGGCCGGTGTCTCTCCGTGTTTTCTTGGATGCGCGAGGGGCACTCCGCCATCCAGTGACCAATCTTTCCGCAATTGTGGCACGGCCAGGACTTCTTCACTGGTCGCCCTTTGCGCTGATTGTCCCTTGTGATGAACGCTTGACCTTGCGAAGCTTCATCACCTTTACTTCCTTGCTCCTTCCGCTTCATTTCTTCATGAAGCAGTCGAGACGTCACGAGCTCCCAGCTAAGAGTGTCTGAGCGCGACTCCAAAGCTGTGATCAAGAATTGATACGAGTCACTCAGGCTGCCGAGGAGTGTGATCACCAGATCGTCCTCGCAGACTGGAGCCCCCACCGCTTCTAGCTGTTCCGCCAGCGTCTTGAGCTTGTTGATGTGTTCGAGCACATCGTCGCCTTCTTCCATCATTGTCGTGAAGAAGCGACGGCGCAAGAACAGCTTGTTGGCAAGACTCTTCTTCTCGAAGTGGTCTTCCAACCTTGACCATGCGTCGCATGCACCACTTGCCGACCGGACCAACGGTAGCTGGGAATCTTCCATGGCTAGACAGATCACTGCCATCGCCTTTCTTGACTTCCTCTTGTACGTCGCTTGGTCCAACTGAGTCTCGCACTGTTCCGCCTTGATCTCACCGCTGACGACCTCCCATAGGTCCCGTTCCTCCAGCACCATCTGCATCTTGAACTTCCAGGCGTGGAAGTTAGTTCCATCGAACTTGGAGATGCGGAGGGAGGAGAGCGTCCATGGCAGCTAAGCTTGAATTGTTGGCGGTTTCAGAGTCTGACGAACTTGGGCTCATAACCTGATGAACTTTAGACTTCTTGGTCCGAGTGCAAAACGCAAAGTGAATATATATTTATAATAGGTACTTAGTTCGCAACTTTGAATACTACCTCTAAGCCTATTATTCGCAGTGACGTCATCCAGTGACGTCACCCACTGACGTCATGCAATGACGTCATCCAGTGACGTCATTTCCTGACTTCGCCCTTACTGGTACATACCGGTACCCACCGGTATAGCGAAGCTTGGTCTTCCACTTGCTTCAACACTTGACGCAGCTTGACGAGGTGTCTTCTTCACAGCCGCTGTCTTTTCAACAATCCGCTGTCGCCACCACTTGCTGTGAGTTCTTGAGAGTCACATACATCTTGGACCCGTCAAACACGACTTGAAACTTGCCATGGCTGTTAATCTGTGGCACCGAAAGCAGGTTCTTGCTCATACTTGGAACATATAGCGCGTTCTTAATTTCGATCTCACGCTCTTCACCGTTGGGCAGAACCACCTTTTCCATGATGGTTCCCACACCCTTGATGGCCACCTTGTTGCCATCAGCCACCAAGAGTTCGCCCTCATTGCGCTCTTCCAAACTTGCGAACTTGGTCTTGTCGTGGCAAATGTGGTGCGTTGCACCACTGTCGACGGCCCACATTCCAGACACGTCCTTGCTCGTCGAAACTCCACATTCGAACGAGACTGCAAACGCCACTCGATCGTAGCCATTGCCTTCATCATGATGTCCCCACTGGACATTGTTAGCCCCGCGTCCACGACCATTGCCGCCGCGTCGGGCTCCCCGACCTTCGTTCTTCTGCTTTGTCCAGCAACGATCCACCGTGTGTCCCACCTTGCCACAATACGTGCATTGGTAGGGCTCACGCTCGGCGCTGAATGCCTTGCTTGCATCTTCAGCCTTCACCGTAGTCGCTGTCGTTGTCCCTTTTTCTCCTTGACGCTTGGCATGCTCATTCGTCAGGACTCTCACCACATCTTGAGTGCGAAGCTCGGTGCTGCTCATTTCCATGTTGAGCACCACATTTTCGTAGCTCTTCGGAAGACTGAGTAGCAGACAAATTGCAACGTCTTCGTCTTCCATCTTCGCACCGATGCCGCTAAGCTTGGCGGAGATGTTGAGGACCTCGTTGCAGTGATGCATGACGTTCGCGCCTTCAGCCATCTTGATGCTGAAAAGTTGTCGCTTGAGGTAGATGCGTCCTGCCTTCTGCGACCCACCGTACAGCGTCTTCAGACTTGTCCACGCAACCCAGGCTTCCTCGCAGTTGTCCAGCACATGATGGTAGTCCGCGTTCATGTGCAGCAGCATCATACCAAACGCGACGTTGCTTGCCTTGACGTAGTCATCGGACGCTCGCGGGTCGGTGAAAGTCGGAGTCACTTCACGGTTGACAACGTGCCAGACGGACTTCGTCAAAAACACACCGCGCATGTACCGGCTCCACGTTGCGTAATTGTCTCCGTTGAACTTGTCAATGGAGGCGTTGCTGGTGGACGACATGGCGCTTGGGCTCATAACCTGTTGCATTGTAGATCGGAGCGAGGAAAGCGGAGCAAACGGAGCGGAGAGACCGAAGAGAGTAGAGCAGAAAACACTTGCCCAATAGTTGGAAGATTCGAAAGTGATTGATTATCGGGGCTTACTACTTACTACATGATTTATATGTGGTGTACATATAAATCATGTGAAGCGTCTCATCATCCTACGCGTCTAATCAACTATGGTAATTACCGTAAGAACTACGTCGTAAATACTAAGCTGAACAGGCGGTTCGGATTGGATCGGTCACGGTTACCAATACTGGTAGAAAACCGATGACCGTCAACAGTTGCAGTCTGCGTGCCAAGTCCGAAAGCGAAGAGTGCATCAAGAAGTACAACTTGGTAGTACAGGCGCAGTTTTGTTGAAAAGACAGCGGCTGTGAAGAAGACACCTCGTCAAGCTGCGTCAAGTGTTGAAGCAAGTGGAAGACCAAGCTTCGCTATACCGGTGGGTACCGGTATGTACCAGTAAGGGCGAAGTCAGGAAATGACGTCACTGGATGACGTCATTGCATGACGTCAGTGGGTGACGTCAGTGGGTGACGTCACTGGATGACGTCACTGCGAATAATAGGCTTAGAGGTAGTATTCAAAGTTGCGAACTAAGTACCTATTATAAATATATATTCTCTTTGCGTTTTGCACTCGGACCAAGAAGTCTAAAGTTCATCAGGTTATGAGCCCAAGTTCGTCAGACTCTGAAACCGCCAACAATTCAAGCTTAGCTGCCATGGACGCCTCCTCCCTCCGCATCTCCAAGTTCGATGGAACTAACTTCCACGCCTGGAAGTTCAAGATGCAGATGGTGCTGGAGGAACGGGACCTATGGGAGGTCGTCAGCGGTGAGATCAAGGCGGAACAGTGCGAGACTCAGTTGGACCAAGCGACGTACAAGAGGAAGTCAAGAAAGGCGATGGCAGTGATCTGTCTAGCCATGGAAGATTCCCAGCTACCGTTGGTCCGGTCGGCAAGTGGTGCATGCGACGCATGGTCAAGGTTGGAAGACCACTTCGAGAAGAAGAGTCTTGCCAACAAGCTGTTCTTGCGCCGTCGCTTCTTCACGACAATGATGGAAGAAGGTGATGATGTTCTCCAACACATCAACAAGGTCAAGACGCTAGCGGAGCAGCTAGAAGCGGTGGGGGCTCCAGTCTGCGAGGACGATCTGGTGATCACACTCCTCGGCAGCCTGAGTGACTCGTATCAATTCTTGATCACAGCTTTGGAGTCGCGCTCAGACACTCTTAGCTGGGAGCTCGTGACGTCTCGACTGCTTCATGAAGAAATGAAGCGGAAGGAGCAAGGAAGTAAAGGTGATGAAGCTTCACAAGGTCAAGCGTTCATCACAAGGGACAATCAGCGCAAAGGGCGACCAGTGAAGAAGTCCTGGCCGTGCCACAATTGCGGAAAGATTGGTCACTGGATGGCGGAGTGCCCCTCGCGCATCCAAGAAAACACGGAGAGACACCGGCCACAGCGTGCTTCAAGACAGCGGCGACCGCTATCGATCACAACGTGCAAACGTCGCTCAAGAAGAAGACTCGGGCGACTACCTCTTTTCGATCGGTGAAACGACATCTGCGAAATCGAGCGACATCTGGCTGGTCGACTCCGGGGCGACGCAGCACATGACGTGCTCCAAGAAGTTCATGCGGAACTACAAGGGGGTTTGACGCTGTGGATGTCCATCTCGCGGATGATGGAATCGTCCAAGCAATCGGCAGTGGGGACATTGTCATGTCGATGAAGACACCCCAAGGGATGAAGAAAGGTGTGCTCACAAACGTGTGGCACATCCCAAAGTTATCCAGAAACCTGTTCTCGGTCGGCCGCTTCACCAAGGATGTCGGCCCAGTGACGTTCACGAAGGATGGGTGCTATGGAGAAGCGAAAGGGACCAAGTGGAAAATTGGTGCCCGTGAAGGTAAAGGACTGTTCAAGCTGCAAATGACTCCAGTGGCGCCGGAACAAGCAAATGCAGCCAAGTCGTCGGGATGTCAAGGGGGCACCAAGTCGTACCTCTGGCACCTTCGGCTTGGCCACATAGGTCACGATGGACTCAATTGCATCGTGACGAAGAACATTGGAATTGGCATCGACATATCTTCGGTGAAGAAGTGGGACGTGTGTGAAGGTTGTGCTCTGGGAAAACAGACTCGAGTGCGCTTCCAATCAAACACTACAGCTCGCACCTCCAAACTCCTCGAAGTGATTCACAGCGACGTATGCGGACCGATGTCGATGGCAACTTTCAGTGGAAAACGGTACTTCGTGACATTCATTGATGACAAGTCAAGATACTGTGTCGTCTATCTGCTCAAGAGCAAATCTGAAGTTGCGGCGAAGTTCATGGAATACGCTGCGATGGCCGAAACGCAAACCGGAAAGCGCGTGAAGTACCTTCAAAGCGACAATGGGGGTGAATACAAGTCCGACAAGCTGGCACGATTCTGCGCGGAACGGGGAATACAACAAAGGTTCACACCCCCATATACTCCTCAGCTAAACGGAGTAGCTGAGAGAATGAATCGCACGCTGGTCGAGTGTGCGCGTTGCATGATGGAACACGCTGGACTGGGAAAGAGCTACTGGGGTGAAGCAGTGATGACAGCGATGTTTCTTCGAAACCGCTGTCCAACACGTGCCATTCACCAAGACAAGTCTCCATATCAAGTGTGGACGATGAAGAAACCGATTCTGGCCAACCTTAAAGTGTTTGGATGCCACGCGTATGTTCAAGTGCCTCAAGACAAACGCGCGAAGTTCGACTCCAAGTCATCACTCTGTCGTTTCCTGGGATACGCCGAACACCAGAAGTCATATCGATTTGAGGAAGTGTCAACAGGAGCGATCAAGATCAGTCGCGATGCCACATTCATGGAAGACAAGTTTGATGAAGGTCCGCGCAACTACAACGATGAGTCAAGTGTCGTTGAGTTTGATGATCATGATGAGGACGAAGAAAAAGAAGAAGGTAAAACTGACGACGACATGGACTCGAGCGACGATGACAACGAAGACACCAGGTCTTCGAAGAGCAACATCAAGAGACACACGCGCACTCAATCACTTGAGAAAGCTACCGTCATTCAAGTCCCAAGCGAAAGAACATACAGAGGTCCGTCGCTTGAGCATGTGTCAGCGGCTGCAATGGATTTTGAAGCAGCCTACATCGTTGATTCAGTGGGGGAAACGCCGACTACATTCAAGTCGGCGATGGAATCAAGCGACTCCGGCAAGTGGAAAGAAGCGTGTGACTCGGAGTTCGATTCGCTTCAGAGAAACGACACGTGGGAAATCGTGCCTCTTCCGAAGGTCGCAAGGCCATCGGGTGCCGATGGGTTTTTCGTGTAAAGGAGAATCAAGATGGCGAAGTTGAACGTTTCAAGGCAAGACTTGTGGCCAAAGGATTCTCACAGAAATTCGGAGTTGACTATGAAGAAACTTTCGCACCGGTGGCCAAGTTCACATCGATTCGTGTGGTGCTCAGTATGGCGGCTAAGTACGGCCTAATGCTACATCAGATGGACGTCAAGACAGCGTTTCTTAACGGCTCCCTCAACGAAGACATCTACATGGACCAGCCGGACGGATACCTGGATGCAACACAGCCGGACTATGTGTGCAAGCTAAAGAGATCACTCTACGGCTTGAAGCAATCGCCTCGCATGTGGAACCAAACAATCGATGGGTTCATGATCAAGATGGGATTCAAGAAGTGCGAATCGGACCACTGCATCTACATCAAGCGAGACGACCAAGACATGATTCTCGTGGTGCTCTACGTCGATGATCTCATCCTGGCCAGCAGCAACAACGAACTCCTCAAGTCAACCAAGATGGCGCTGAGCAAACGCTTCGAAATGACGGATCTCGGTGAGCTCGATTACTTTCTCGGCATGGAGATCAAGAACGACCGTAAGACGGGAATGGTGACTGTACAACAAACCAAGTTTCTCAAGTCCGTGTTAACCAAGTTCCGGAATGGATAACAGCAAGCCAGTGAAGACGCCTCAAGATCCCGGCCTGAAGCTAACCAAGAACATGTGTGAACAAGAATGCAAGCACGAAGACACCATGTGCAACGTGCCATATCGAAGTGCTGTCGGAGGCATCATGTATCTCATGGTCGCCACACGTCCGGATCTAGCTGCTGCAGTGGGATCATTATCCCAGTTCTCGTCCGACCCATGCCCGACTCACTGGCAAGCTTTGAAGCGTGTGCTGAGATACCTGCAAGCAACGCCCAATCATGGTCTTGAGTTTACACGTGAAGAAGGAAGCCGTATCTGCGGGTACACCGACGCAGACTGGGCCGGCGACATTGAGTCAAGACGAAGTACAAGCGGCTATGTGTTCATGATGAGCGGAGGATGCATCAGCTGGAAAAGCCAGAAACAACGGACGGTCGCGCTATCTTCAACAGAAGCAGAATACATGGCGCTTTCGAAGCAACCAAAGAAGCAGTATGGCTCAAAGTGCTTTTGGGGAACTTGGTGAGATGACAAGCGACGAAGCGATCAAGATGTATGAAGACAACCAAGGATCAATCGCTCTCGCCAAGAACCCGGAGTTCCATAAGAGAACAAAACACATCGACATACGCTACCATTTTGTGCGTGAGAAGGTGGAATCAGGTGAAGTCGTTTTGGAGTATTGCCCGACTCAAGATATGCTGGCAGACATGATGACCAAGCCGATCGCCGCTGTACAATTTGAAAACATTCGCGATCGACTTGGGATCAAGGTGCCGCAGCTAACGAGTCGAGAGGGAGTGTTGAAAAGACAGCGGCTGTGAAGAAGACACCTCGTCAAGCTGCGTCAAGTGTTGAAGCAAGTGGAAGACCAAGCTTCGCTATACCGGTGGGTACCGGTATGTACCAGTAAGGGCGAAGTCAGGAAATGACGTCACTGGATGACGTCATTGCATGACGTCAGTGGGTGACGTCAGTGGGTGACGTCACTGGATGACGTCACTGCGAATAATAGGCTTAGAGGTAGTATTCAAAGTTGCGAACTAAGTACCTATTATAAATATATATTCTCTTTGCGTTTTGCACTCGGACCAAGAAGTCTAAAGTTCATCAAGTTTAACTACAAGGTCAAGTTCGTTCGATACGATGGTGCACGAGAATTTGCGGCGAATTCGCTCAAGGCATTTTACAATGATCAAGAAATCGAGCAAAAGTTACCGTTTTATAAGCGCAACGGATCAGCGGCACGGTGGAACGGGCAATTCGGACCATTGTGACGATCGGGCGCAGCATGCTTCACTACGCCAAGCTGGACAAGTGTTTTTGGACTGAGCAGCAATGACGGCGATCTACATCAAAAATCGCCTACCATCGCCCAAGAGCCAAGATCGAAACCCGTTTGAGAGTGTCAACGGATTTCGACCAAGTGTAAAGCACCTGCGGGTTTTCGGCTGCCGAACGTTTGTGCTGACTCTAAGAAAAAGAGATCGAAATGGGATCCTAAGGCTCGTGAAGGATTCTTCATGGGGTACGAAGAAGTGTCAAAGGCATGTCGCGTTTACGACATTGAAGCGGACCAAGTGGTGATATCTCGCGATGTCACATTCGACGAATCAACGCTTGGTTTCTCGCCGAGGCTACCACAAGAAATTGTTGATGACACTGCGCTGGATATCGAATCGATGAACATCAGCGATGAGCCTCACCCCATGCAGTTCAAGCAAACTGGAAAACGCAAAAGCCGTTCAAACAGTCAAGAACAAGTTCTACAACGGACACTTCTTGAGCGTCGTGGAACCGGGTTAGAAGAAGCAAGTGCCCCGGATGACTCTGAATCGCACCAAGCGAAGCGACGGTCAAGCGCTCGAGCCAATCTGGACGAAGAACGAAAGAGCAGTGACGAAGATAACGAGGATGCTACACCTTAAGTCTTTTGGCGAGCGAGTGCCAATGCAGTCGAAGGTACTGACTTGCCTGAGCCGACAACGTTTGAAGATGCTGTTGGTGGACCAGATCAAGTGCATTGGCGTAAAGCAATCTGTGCCGAGTTGGACTAGATAAAACTTCGTGGCGTGTTTCGAGCGACCAAACTGCCATCTGGACAGCATACCATTGGCACCAATTGGGTATTTAAGATCAAACGAAAAGCTGATAATCCATCGAGAAATGAAAGGCACGTTTCGAAATGAACGACAGCGGCAAGTGCGCGTTTGTGTTGGGCATCGAGCTGGTGGACAACGACAACGAAAGCATGACGATGTGCCAGCGACGCTACGTGGAAGATGTCCTGTGAAACGTTTTGGCATAAGCGACTGCAAAGCCGCTACCAGCCCAAAAGACATCAGTTTTCGACTCATACCAAGCACTGTAGCAACTAAAATCGATGCCCCTTTCGTGAGGCTGTAGGCGCTTTGATGCACTTGATGACAGCGACACTACCGGACATTGCCTTTGCTGTGAGTTACGTTTCGTGCTTCATGGAGAACCCCGAAGTCGAGCATCGGATGGCGGTCAAGCGCATTTTGCGGTACTTACAAGGGACTAAGTCGCACGGTATCTGTTTCAAGCCTGATGACAAGATAGACTTCTGTGGCTACTCGGATGCAGACTGGGCCGGCGACCATGCAGACCGCAAGTCGACTTCAGGATACGCGTTTATCCTGATGGGTGCTCCGGTGAGCTGGAAAAGCAAAAAGCAGTCAAGTGTGTCGCTGTCAACAAGTGAAGCTGAGTACATTGTACTAAGTCTGGCGATTCAAGAAGGCAAGTGGGTGCATCGATTGCTGTGCGAGATTCTGGATGCCGCAGAGGACAAGTCTGGACCCGAGCTCAAGATTATGGAAGACAACCAGTCGTGCATCAAGATGACGAACAATCCTGTGAACCATGGTCGGGCCAAGCACATCGACATCAAGTACCATCACATTCGTGATGAAGTCAAGCGTGGTGATGTCACTTTAAATTACTGTGAGACTACGATTATGTTGGCGGACATCATGACCAAGGGACTGCCAGGACCGCGTCACAAGGACTTGACGGCAGCGCTCGGCATACACGCGTGTTTGCATTGAGGGGGCGTATTGCGGGTTAACGGTTGAGGTGCTGTTATCAGCTGCCATGGAAACCGTAAACCTGTCCAAGTCGATCCCGCGTCATTGCGGTGAGTTTTTACCAATAATTAGACGCATGGGATGATCGGATGACCTACATGATTTATGATTCATGATTCATATGTGGACAACATACAAATCAGTGCAGAGACAATTCAGGTAGCTTTGAACCCACAAATAAACTCACTTCCAAATATTCCTTCTCCTACACAAGTCGTCTTCACTTTGCAGTGTAGACTTCTTTTAAGTCCTTTAAGCTTCGTTCTCTCGCCCAGTGCTCGTTACATCTTAATAGGGTGCCTACAAGCCATTACAACGCACAATAAAGACATCTATTCATTGATTCTTTTCGCGCGTCTTACTTTGCGTACTCCATTTAAGCAACCTGTTTGAATATCTATACTCACACCATACACTAGGGTGTAAGGTACTGTTGACGGTCATCGGTTTTCATTCATTCAACAGGTACAAAGCCAGACGCCACCAGATTTCAAATTCCGACTGACATACAATAGACAAGTATAAAAGACTTCACTTTGCGATGTGGGCTTGCTATTCGCGCGGCACACTTTCCATTTAGTCGGTGTGGCATTTGTGGTGTCACGCGAGAATCGATCTCAGCCGTCGTGCCGTGGAATGCTATATATAGGCAAGCAACATCGTATTCCAACTGCGCTGCAACCCATACCAAAACGTGGCTGAGAATGGCGAGGGGGCCTATATCTTCTAGTCACCTGGCGGCGCCATAAGGTGGATCAAAGAAGTTAGTTGCATCTGCTCTGCTGATACGTAGATATGCTGAAACTGATGCCTAAGCTTTTGCAAAGAAATTCTGCTCTTGTAATCTGGACCGAATGATGACGACTTGTGTGGAAGGAGGATGATTCGAAAGTGATTGGTCTATCGGATCTCTCTCTGCTTCAATCCTGATTTATATGTGGGCCACTAATAAATCATGTGGGCCTTCCAATCGGTCTACTCGTCTGATCAATCATGAGTTAATTACCGTCACAAAAACAATACCGTAAAAAATAAACCTTGAAGCTCGAATTATAGCCCCAGCTCTCTACCATATACAGAATTCTTAGTAAAAGCATTGTTGCGAAGACAGAGGACAAAAAAGGGGTGATCTGCTTGTCGCACAGTCTCCACAAGATCGATGACAACATCGTTCCTCAACTCGAAGAGAAGCAACGTCGGTACGCGTGCTGGGCGTTGCTCAGGCGCTGGTAGACGTGCAGCATTGCCTATGCAGCGAACGAAACTATCATGATGCATGCTTAAGACGCAGCTGAGGTGATCATTACTGTTGTGGGTTGACGGTTAAGGTACTATTATCAGCTACCGTGGAAACCGTAAACCTTGAAGAACTTTAGACTTCTTGGTCCGAGTGCAAAACGCAAAGTGAAAATGCATTTACAATAGGTACTAAGTTCGCAACTTTGAATACTACCTCTAAGCCTATTATTCGCAGTGACGTCATCCAGTGACGTCATGCAATGATGTCATTCCGCTGACGTCATCCAATGACGTCACTCCCTGACTTCGCCCTTACTAGTTGTTGAAGGTATGACACGGGAGTGACGAGAAGACCGGAAGAGACCGGAGGGAGCGAAGAGGCTCGAGAAGCGGAGCAGAGAAGACTTGCTCGGCAGAAGGAGAATTCGAAAGTGATTGATTATCGGGGCTTGCTACTTACTACATGATTTATATGTGGTGCACATATAAATCATGTGAAGCGTCTCATCATCCTACGCGTCTAATCAACTATGGTAATCACCGTAAGAATCGTTGACGGTATGGCACGGGAGTGACGAGAAGACCGGAAGAGACCGGAGAGAGCGAAGAGGCTTGAGGAGCGGAGCAGAGAAGACTTGCTCGGCAGAAGGAGAATTCGAAAGTGATTGATTATCGGGGCTTGCTACTTACTACATGATTTATATGTGGTGCACATAAAAATCATGTGAAGCGTCTCATCATCCTACGCGTCTAATCCACTATGGTAATTACCGTAAGAACTACGTCGTAAATACGAAGCTGAACAGGCGGTTCGGATTGGACCGGTCACGGTTACCAACACTGGTAGAAAACCGATGACCGTCAACACGCCCCCTCAATGCGAACACGCACAAATCCCGAGAGTCGCCGTCATCTCCTTGTGGCGTGGCCCGTGAAGTCCCTTCGTCATGATGTCCGCTAACATCACCGCAGTTTCACAGTACTTAAGCTTCACTTCACCGCGCTTGACCTCGTCACGGATGTGATGGTACTTGATATCAATGTGCACGGCATGGCCGTGGTTGACCGGGTTCTTTGTCATCTTGATACGCGACTGATTGTCTTCATGGATCATGAGTTCCGGTCCTTCTTCATTGGCAGCCATCACGATCTCACAAAGCAGACGATGAATCCACTTGCCCTCTTTAATCGCTAAGCTGAGTGCGATGCATTCAGCATCACTCGTGGACAACGAAACACTTGGCTGTTTCTTGCTGCCCCAACTCACTGGCGCACCCAACAGCATGAATACGTAACCAGACGTCGACTTGCGATCAGCGAGGTCACCGGCCCAGTCTGCATCCGAGTAGCAACGAAAACCGATCTTCGCACTTGGCTTGTAGCAAATTCCATGCGTCTTGGTGCCTTGTAGGTAGCGAAAGATACGCTTAACTGCAACCCAGTGTTCTTCTTGGGGATTTTCCATGAACCGCGACACATAGCCCACAGCAAACGCAATGTCCGGACGCGTTGCAGTGGTCAGGTGCATCAACGCACCAACAGCTTCGCGAAAAGGAGCATCGACCTTGGTAGTTGCATCACTTGAAACAAGTCGAGAGCTCATGTCGACTGGACTTGCGACGGCTTTGCAATCATCCATGCCAAAGCGCTTGAGTATGTCATTTACATACCGACGATGACATAGTGTCACACTTTCATCTGCGCCGTCCAAAAGCTCTATTTCAAGCACAAATGCACACTTGCCGCTGTCAGTCATCTCGAATCGTGTCTTCAGGTCGGTCTTGGTGCGTGCAATTAGCTCGCATGAGCTACCGGTGATCAACACGTCATCCACATACACCAGCAGCAGCACGCATTGCCCTTCCACAATCCTTATGTAGAGAGTCTGGCGCACTTGATTCTTCTAGTCCAGGCCGTTGACGCACCGTGCGCGTGGGTGGAGCTGGTACTCTTTCATCATGGGGACGACTCTTGCGGTTGCCTGTTTGCTTGTACTGCGCTTGACCTGGCGCTTCATCATCCAGATCGAGGGAGTCGGAGTCAAGGTCATCGACGTCTTCAGCGGTGGTTGGCGGCGAAAGTCCAAAGGCGGACTCGTCAAAGTTGACATCGCGACTGATGACCACCTGCCCCGCCTCGATGTCATAAACACGACACGCTTTAAATGCTTCTTCGTAGCCCAAGAATATCCCAGTGCAAGCCTTGGGGTCCCACTTGAGCCGCTTCTCCTTCGGTGTCAGTATGTAAACCTGACAACCGAACACCCGCATGTGCTTGACACTTGGCTTGGAGTTGTGGACGATCTCGAACGGAGTTTTGTGCATAACTTAGGCGACGGCAGACGTAGATTGCCGTCATTGCTGCTTCGGCCCAGAAGCACTTTTCCAGCTTAGCATTGTGGAGCATGCTGCGACCAATTGTGATGATAGTTCGAATGGCGCGCTCTGCCGTGCCGTTGGTCTGGTGTGCATATGGTACCGTCGTCTGCTGCTCAATGCCTTCATCTTCGTAGAACTCTTGAAGCGAGTTGGTTGCGAACTCGCGGGCTCCGTCATGTCGGACGAGCTTGACCTTCTTGCCAAACTGCGCTTGCACCATCTTGATGTATCGTGTGATGTAGTTTTCACTCTCCGACTTCACACGTAGACAGAAGCCCTTCATGCATCCACTGGCTTCGTCAACGATCAGCAGTAGATACTTGCTGCCACCCAGAGAATTCATCTCCATGGGTCCGCAGATGTCGTAGCTCGAAGGTGTCGTATCTGCGCTTGTCCTTGTTGCATGGGAATGGTTTTTGGACCATTTTCCCTTGTTGACATCCTCGACATGCGCTTGATCCACTTGACTTGAGAGGTACCTTCACATCCTTGATCGTGTTCGTGGCCACCATTTTGCGAAGCACATCAGCTGGAGCGTGTCCCATCCGCGCATGTAAGTCAACACCGTTGCATCCGTTTGTTGTCGCATTGCCCGATCGATGAGCTGTGTGAAGCCAGTAAAGGCCATCCACAAGATCTGCTGTTGCCACCACTTGTTGCGATCCTTTGCGAGCGAAAAACATCTTGGTCCCGTCGAACACGACTTGAAACTTGCCGTACTTGTTGATCTGCGGTACCGATAGTAGATTCTTGCTCATGCTTGGTACGTAAAGCACGTTCTTGATCTTGATCTCGCGCTCTTAACCGTCGGGCAGAACCACCTTTTCAAAGATGGTTCCAACATCCTTGATGGCCACCTTGTTGCCGTCAGCCACCAAGAGTTCGCCCTCATTGCGCTCTGCCAAACTTGCGAACTTGGTCTTGTCGTGGCAAATGTGGTGCGTTGCGCCACTGCCGACGGCCCACATTCCAGACACATCCTTGCTCGTCGAAACTCCACATTCGAACGAGACTGCAAACGCCACTCGATCGTATCCATTGTCTTCATCATGATGTCCCCACTGGACATTGTTAGCCCCGCGTCCACGACCATTGCCGCCGCGTCGGGCTCCCCGACCTTCGTTCTTCTGCTTTGTCCAGCAACGATCCACCGTGTGTCCCACCTTGCCACAATACGTGCATTGGTAGGGCTCACGCTCGGCGCTGAATGCCTTGCTTGCATCTTCAGCCTCCACCGTAGTCGCTGTCGTTGTCCCTTTTTCTACTTGACGCTTGGCATGCTCATTCGTCAGGACTCTCACCATATCTTGAGTGCGAAGCTCGGTGCTGCTCATTTCCATGTTGAGCACCACATTTTCGTAGCTCTTCGGAAGACTGAGTAGCAGACAAATTGCAACGTCTTCGTCTTCCATCTTCGCACCAATGCTGCTAAGCTTGGCAGCGATGTTCAGGACCTCGTTGGAGTGATGCATGACGTTGGCGCCTTCGTCCATCTTCATGCTGAAGAGTTGACGCTTGAGGTAGATCCTTCCCGCTTTCTGGGATCCACCGTACAGCACCTTCAGGCTCTGCCACGCTACCCACGCTTCCTCGCAGTTGTCGACCACATGGTGGTAATTCGCACCCATGTGCAGCAACATCGTTCCAAATGCGATGTTGTTGGCCTTGACGTAGTCGTCCTGCGCTCGAGGGTCCACGAACGTCGGGGAGCTCTCCCGGTTGACAGCATGCCACACTGACTTTGTCAGGAACACGCCACGCATGTATCGACTCCAGGTCGAATAGTTGTCCCCATCGAACTTATCGATGAGGGCGTTGGAGGATGCGTGGCCGGCAGAAGACATTGCGCTTAAGATCATAACCTATTAACGGTATGGCACGGGAGTGACGAGAAGACCGGAAGAGACCGGAAGAGACCGGAGAGAGCGAAGAGGCTTGAGAAGCGGAGCAGAGAAGACTTGCTCGGCAGAAGGAGAATTCGAAAGTGATTGATTATCGGGGCTTACTACTTACTACATGATTTATACGTAGTGCACACATAAATCATGTGAAGCGTCTCATCATCCTACGCGTCTCATCAACTATGGTAATTACCGTAAGAACTACGTCGTAAATACGAAGCTGAACAGGCGGTTCGGATTGGACCGGTCACGGGTACTAATACTGGTAGGAAACCGATGACCGTCAACACAACCAAAATCGGCACCCCGTTTCATGAAGCTGTAGGCGCTTTAATGCACTTGATGACAGCGACACTACCGGACATTGCCTTTGCTGTGAGTTACGTTTCGCGCTTCATAGAAAACCCCCAAGTCGAGCATCGGATGGCGGTCAAGCGCATTTTGCGATACTTTCAAGGGACTAAGTCGCACGGCATCCGTTTCAAGTCTGATGACAAGATAGACTTCTGCGGCTACTCGGATGCAGACTGGGCCGGCGACCATGCAGACCGCAAGTCGACTTCGGGATATGCGTTCATCCTGATGGGTGCTCCGGTGAGCTGGGGAAGCATAAAGCAGTCAAGTGTGTCGCTGTCAACAAATGAAGCTGAGTACATTGCACTAAGTCTGACGATTCAAGAAGACAAGTGGGTGCATCGATTGCTGTGCGAGATTCTGGATGCCGCAGAGGACAAGTGGACCCGAGCTCAAGATCATGGAAGATAACCAATCGTGCATCAAGATGACGAACAATCCTGTGAACCATGGTCGGGCCAAGCACATCGACATCAAGTACCATCACATTCGTGATGAAGTCAAGCGTGGTGATGTCACTTTAAATTACTGTGAGACTACGATTATGTTGGCGGACATCATGACCAAGGGACTGCCAGGACCGCGTCACAAGGACTTGACGGCAGCGCTCGGAATACACGCGTGTTTGCATTGAGGGGGCGCATTGCGGGTTAACGGGTGAGGTACTGTTATCAGCTGCCATGGAAACCGTAAACCTGTCCAAGTCGATCCCGCGTAATTACGGTGAGTTTTTACCAATAATTAGACGCATAGGATGATTGGATGACCTACATGATTTATGATTCATGATTCATACGTGGACAACATATAAATCAGTGCAGAGACAATTCAGGTAGCTTTGAACCCACAAATAAACTCACTTCCAAATATTCCTTCTCCTACACAAGTCGTCTTCACTTTGCAGTGTAGACTTCTTTTAAGTTCTTTAAGCTTCGTTCTCTCGCCCAGTGCTCGTTACATCTTAACAGGGTGCCTACAAGCCATTACAACGCACAATAAAGACATCTATTCATTGATTCTTTTCGCGCGTCTTACTTTGCGTACTCCATTTAAACAACCTGTTTGAATATCTATACTCACACCATACACTAGGGTGCAAGGTACAAAGCCAGACGCCACCAGATTTCAAATTCCGACTGACACACAATAGACAAGTATAAAAGACTTCACTTTGCGATGTGAGCTTGCTATTCGCGCGGCACACTTTCTATTTAGTCGGTGTGGCATTTGTGGTGTCACGCGAGAATCGATCTCAGCCGTCGTACCGTGGAATGCTATATATAGGCAAGCAACATCGTATTCCAACTGCGCTGCAACCCATACCAAAACGTGGCTGAGAATGGCGAGGGGGCCTATATCTTCTAGTCACCTGGCGGCGCCATAAGGTGGATCAAAGAAGTTAGCCGCATCTACTCTGTTGATACGTAGATATGCTGAAACTGATGCCTAAGCTTTTGCAAAGAAATTCTGCTCTTGTAATCTGGACCGAATGATGACGACTTGTGTGGAAGGAGGATGATTCGAAAGTGATTGGTCTATCGGATCTCTCTCTGCTTAAATCCTGATTTATATGTGGTCCACTAATAAATCATGTGGGCCTTCCAATCGGTCTACTCGTCTGATCAATCATGAGTTAATTACCGTCACAAAAACAATACCGTAAAAAATAAACCTTGAAGCTCGAATTATAGCCCCAGCTCTCTACCATATACAGATTTCTTAGTAAAAGCATTGTTGCGAAGACAGAGGACAAAAAAGGGGTGATCTGCTTGTCGCACAGTCTCCACCAGATCGATGACAACATCGTTCCTCAACTCGAAGAGAAGCAACGTCGGTACGCGTGCTGGGCGTTGCTCAGGCGCTGGTAGACGTGCAGCATTGCCTATGCAGCGAACGAAACTATCATGATGCATGCTTAAGACGCAGCTGAGGTGATCATTACTGTTGTGGGTTGACGGTTAAGGTACTATTATCAGCTACCGTGGAAACCGTAAACCTTGAAGAACTTTAGACTTCTTGGTCCGAGTGCAAAACGTAAAGTGAAAATGCATTTACAATAGGCACTAAGTTCGCAACTTTGAATACTACCTCTAAGCCTATTATTCGCAGTGACGTCATCCACTGACGTCATGCAATGATGTCATTCCGCTGACGTCATCCAATGACGTCATTCCCTGACTTCGCCCTTACTAGTTGTTGAAGGTATGACACGGGAGTGACGAGAAGACCGGAAGAGACCGGAGGGAGCGAAGAGGCTTGAGAAGCGGAGCAGAGAAGACTTGCTCGGCAGAAGGATAATTCGAAAGTGATTGATTATCGGGGCTTGCTACTTACTACATGATTTATATGTGGTGCACATATAAATCATGTGAAGCGTCTCATCATCCTACGCGTCTAATCAACTATGGTAATTACCGTAAAAACTACGTCGTAAATACGAAGCTGAACTGGCGGTTCGGATTGGACCCTTCACGGTTACTAATACTGGTAGGAAACCGATGACCGTCAACACAACCAAAATCGGCACCCCGTTTCATGAAGCTGTAGGCGCTTTAATGCACTTGATGACCGCGACACTACCGGACATTGCCTTTGCTGTGAGTTACGTTTCGTGCTTCGTGGAAAACCCCCAAGTCGAGCATCGGATGGCGGTCAAGCGCATTTTGCGATACTTTCAAGGGACTAAGCCGCACGGCATCTGTTTCAAGTCTGATGACAAGATAGACTTCTGCGGCTACTCGGATGCAGACTGGGCCGGTGACCATGCAGACCGCAAGTCGACTTCGGGATATGCGTTCATCCTGATGGGTGCTCCGGTGAGCTGGGGAAGCATAAAGCAGTCAAGTGTGTCACTGTCAACAAATGAAGCTGAGTACATTGCACTAAGTCTGACGATTCAAGAAGACAAGTGGGTGCATCGATTGCTGTGCGAGATTCTGGATGCCGCAGAGGACAAGTCTGGACCCGAGCTCAAGATCATGGAAGATAACCAATCGTGCATCAAGATGACGAACAATCCTGTGAACCATGGTCGGGCCAAGCACATCGACATCAAGTACCATCACATTCGTGATGAAGTCAAGCGTGGTGATGTCAATTTAAATTACTGTGAGACTACGATTATGTTGGCGGACATCATGACCAAGGGACTGCCAGGACCGCGTCACAAGGACTTGACGGCAGCGCTCGGCATACACGCGTGTTTGCATTGAGGGGGCGCACTGCGGGTTAACGGGTGAGGTACTGTTATCAGCTGCCATGGAAACCGTAAACCTGTCCAAGTCGATCCCGCGTAATTACGGTGAGTTTTTACCAATAATTAGACGCATAGGATGATTGGATGACCTACATGATTTATGATTCATGATTCATATGTGGACAACATATAAATCAGTGCAGAGACAATTCAGGTAGCTTTGAACCCACAAATAAACTCACTTCCAAATATTCCTTCTCCTACACAAGTCGTCTTCACTTTGCAGTGTAGACTTCTTTTAAGTCCTTTAAGCTTCGTTCTCTCGCCCAGTGCTCGTTACGTCTTAACAGGGTGCCTACAAGCCATTACAACGCACAATAAAGACATCTATTCATTGATTCTTTTCGCGCGTCTTACTTTGCGTACTCCATTTAAACAACCTGTTTGAATATCTATACTCACACCATACACTAGGGTGTAAGGTACAAAGCCAGACGCCACCAGATTTCAAATTCCGACTGACATACAATAGACAAGTATAAAAGACTTCACTTTGCGATGTGGGCTTGCTATTCGCGCGGCACACTTTCTATTTAGTCGGTGTGGCATTTGTGGTGTCACGCGAGAATCGATCTCAGCCGTCGTGCCGTGGAATGCTATATACAGGCAAGCAACATCGTATTCCAACTGCGCTGCAACACATACCAAAACGTGGCTGAGAATGGCGAGGGGGCCTATATCTTCTAGTCACCTGGCGGCGCCATAAGGTGGATCAAAGAAGTTAGCCGCATCTACTCTGCTGATACGTAGATATGCTGAAACTGATGCCTAAGGTTTTGCAAAGAAATTCTGCTCTTGTAATCTGGACCGAATGATGACGACTTGTGTGGAAGGAGGATGATTCGAAAGTGATTGGTCTATCGGATCTCTCTCTGCTTAAATCCTGATTTATATGTGGTCCACTAATAAATCATGTGGGCCTTCCAATCGGTCTACTCGTCTGATCAATCATGAGTTAATTACCGTCACAAAAACAATACCGTAAAAAATAAACCTTGAAGCTCGAATTATAGCCCCAGCTCTCTACCATATACAGATTTCTTAGTAAAAGCATTGTTGCGAAGACAGAGGACAAAAAAGGGGTGATCTGCTTGTCGCACAGTCTCCACAAGATCGATGACAACATCGTTCCTCAACTCGAAGAGAAGCAACGTCGGTACGCGTGCTGGGCGTTGCTCAGGCGCTGGTAGACGTGCAGCATTGCCTATGCAGCGAACGAAACTATCATGATGCATGCTTAAGACGCAGCTTAGGTGATCATTACTGTTGTGGGTTGACGGTTAAGGTACTATTATCAGCTACCGTGGAAACCGTAAACCTTGAAGAACTTTAGACTTCTTGGTCCGAGTGCAAAACGCAAAGTGAAAATGCATTTACAATAGGCACTAAGTTCGCAACTTTGAATACTACCTCTAAGCCTATTATTCGCAGTGACGTCATCCACTGACGTCATGCAATGATGTCATTCCGCTGACGTCATCCAATGACGTCATTCCCTGACTTCGCCCTTACTAGTTGTTGAAGGTATGACACGGGAGTGACGAGAAGACCGGAAGAGACCGGAGGGAGCGAAGAGGCTTGAGAAGCGGAGCAGAGAAGACTTGCTCGGCAGAAGGAGAATTCGAAAGTGATTGATTATCGGGGCTTGCTACTTACTACATGATTTATATGTGGTGCACATATAAATCATGTGAAGCGTCTCATCATCCTACGCGTCTAATCAACTATGGTAATTACCGTAAGAACTACGTCGTAAATACGAAGCTGAACAGGCGGTTCGGATTGGACCGGTCACGGTTACTAATACTGGTAGGAAACCGATGACCGTCAACACAACCAAAATCGACGCCCCGTTTCATGAAGCTGTAGGCGCTTTAATGCACTTGATGACCGCGACACTACCGGACATTGCTTTTGCTGTGAGTTACGTTTCGTGCTTCGTGGAAAACCCCCAAGTCGAGCATCGGATGGCGGTCAAGCGCATTTTGCGATACTTTCAAGGGACTAAGCCGCACGGCATCTGTTTCAAGTCTGATGACAAGATAGACTTCTGCGGCTACTCGGATGCAGACTGGGCCGGTGACCATGCAGACCGCAAGTCGACTTCGGGATATGCGTTCATCCTGATGGGTGCTCCGGTGAGCTGGGGAAGCATAAAGCAGTCAAGTGTGTCACTGTCAACAAATGAAGCTGAGTACATTGCACTAAGTCTGACGATTCAAGAAGGCAAGTGGGTGCATCGATTGCTGTGCGAGATTCTGGATGCCGCAGAGTACAAGTCTGGACCCGAGCTCAAGATCATGGAAGATAACCAATCGTGCATCAAGATGACGAACAATCCTGTGAACCATGGTCGGGCCAAGCACATCGACATCAAGTACCATCACATTCGTGATGAAGTCAAGCGTGGTGATGTCACTTTAAATTACTGTGAGACTACGATTATGTTGGCGGACATCATGACCAAGGGACTGCCAGGACCGCGTCACAAGGACTTGACGGCAGCGCTCGGCATACACGCGTGTTTGCATTGAGGGGGCGCATTGCGGGTTAACGGTTGAGGTGCTGTTATCAGCTACCATGGAAACCGTAAACCTGTCCAAGTCGATCCCGCGTAATTACGGTGAGTTTTTTACCAATAATTAGACGCATAGGATGATCGGATGACCTACATGATTTATGATTCATGATTCATATGTGGACAACATATAAATCAGTGCAGAGACAATTCAGGTAGCTTTGAACCCACAAATAAACTCACTTCCAAATATTCCTTCTCCTACACAAGTCGTCTTCACTTTGCAGTGTAGACTTCTTTTAAGTTCTTTAAGCTTCGTTCTCTCGCCCAGTGCTCGTTACATCTTAACAGGGTGCCTACAAGCCATTACAACGCACAATAAAGACATCTATTCATTAATTCTTTTCGCGCGTCTTACTTTGCGTACTCCATTTAAACAACCTGTTTGAATATCTATACTCACACCATACACTAGGGTGTAAGGTACAAAGCCAGACGCCACCAGATTTCAAATTCCGACTGACATACAATAGACAAGTATAAAAGACTTCACTTTGCGATGTGGGCTTGCTATTCGCGCGGCACACTTTCTATTTAGTCGGTGTGGCATTTGTGGTGTCACGCGAGAATCGATCTCAGCCGTCGTGCCGTGGAATGCTATATATAGGCAAGCAACATCGTATTCCAACTGCGCTGCAACACATACCAAAACGTGGCTGAGAATGGCGAGGGGGCCTATATCTTCTAGTCACCTGGCGGCGCCATAAGGTGGATCAAAGAAGTTAGCCGCATCTACTCTGCTGATACGTAGATATGCTGAAACTGATGCCTAAGGTTTTGCAAAGAAATTCTGCTCTTGTAATCTGGACCGAATGATGACGACTTGTGTGGAAGGAGGATGATTCGAAAGTGATTGGTCTATCGGATCTCTCTCTGCTTAAATCCTGATTTATATGTGGTCCACTAATAAATCATGTGGGCCTTCCAATCGGTCTACTCGTCTGATCAATCATGAGTTAATTACCGTCACAAAAACAATACCGTAAAAAATAAACCTTGAAGCTCGAATTATAGCCCCAGCTCTCTACCATATACAGATTTCTTAGTAAAAGCATTGTTGCGAAGACAGAGGACAAAAAAGGGGTGATCTGCTTGTCGCACAGTCTCCACAAGATCGATGACAACATCGTTCCTCAACTCGAAGAGAAGCAACGTCGGTACGCGTGCTGGGCGTTGCTCAGGCGCTGGTAGACGTGCAGCATTGCCTATGCAGCGAACGAAACTATCATGATGCATGCTTAAGACGCAGCTTAGGTGATCATTACTGTTGTGGGTTGACGGTTAAGGTACTATTATCAGCTACCGTGGAAACCGTAAACCTTGAAGAACTTTAGACTTCTTGGTCCGAGTGCAAAACGCAAAGTGAAAATGCATTTACAATAGGTACTAAGCTCGCAACTTTGAATACTACCTCTAAGCCTATTATTCGCAGTGACGTCATCCACTGACGTCATGCAATGATGTCATTCCGCTGACGTCATCCAATGACGTCATTCCCTGACTTCGCCCTTACTAGTTGTTGAAGGTATGACACGGGAGTGACGAGAAGACCGGAAGAGACCGGAGGGAGCGAAGAGGCTTGAGAAGCGGAGCAGAGAAGACTTGCTCGGCAGAAGGATAATTCGAAAGTGATTGATTATCGGGGCTTGCTACTTACTACATGATTTATATGTGGTGCACATATAAATCATGTGAAGCGTCTCATCATCCTACGCGTCTAATCAACTATGGTAATTACCGTAAGAACTACGTCGTAAATACGAAGCTAAACAGGCGGTTCGGATTGGACCGGTCACGGTTACTAATACTGGTAGGAAACCGATGACCGTCAACACAACCAAAATCGACGCCCCGTTTCATGAAGCTGTAGGCGCTTTAATGCACTTGATGACCGCGACACTACCGGACATTGCCTTTGCTGTGAGTTACGTTTCGTGCTTCGTGGAAAACCCCCAAGTCGAGCATCGGATGGCGGTCAAGCGCATTTTGCGATACTTTCAAGGGACTAAGCCGCACGGCATCTGTTTCAAGTCTGATGACAAGATAGACTTCTGCGGCTACTCGGATGCAGACTGGGCCGGTGACCATGCAGACCGCAAGTCGACTTCGGGATATGCGTTCATCCTGATGGGTGCTCCGGTGAGCTGGGGAAGCATAAAGCAGTCAAGTGTGTCACTGTCAACAAATGAAGCTGAGTACATTGCACTAAGTCTGACGATTCAAGAAGACAAGTGGGTGCATCGATTGCTGTGCGAGATTCTGGATGCCGCAGAGGACAAGTGGACCCGAGCTCAAGATCATGGAAGATAACCAATCGTGCATCAAGATGACGAACAATCCTGTGAACCATGGTCGGGCCAAGCACATCGACATCAAGTACCATCACATTCGTGATGAAGTCAAGCGTGGTGATGTCACTTTAAATTACTGTGAGACTACGATTATGTTGGCGGACATCATGACCAAGGGACTGCCAGGACCGCGTCACAAGGACTTGACGGCAGCGCTCGGCATACACGCGTGTTTGCATTGAGGGGGCGTATTGCGGGTTAACGGTTGAGGTGCTGTTATCAGCTACCATGGGAACCGTAAACCTGTCCAAGTCGATCCCGCGTAATTACGGTGAGTTTTTACCAATAATTAGACGCCTAGGATGATTGGATGACCTACATGATTTATGATTCGTGATTCATATGTGGACAACATATAAATCAGTGCAGAGACAATTCAGGTAGCTTTGAACCCACAAATAAACTCACTTCCAGATATTCCTTCTCCTACACAAGTCGTCTTCACTTTGCAGTGTAGACTTCTTTTAAGTTCTTTAAGCTTCGTTCTCTCGCCCAGTGCTCGTTACATCTTAACAGGGTGCCTACAAGCCATTACAACGCACAATAAAGACATCTATTCATTAATTCTTTTCGCGCGTCTTACTTTGCGTACTCCATTTAAGCAACCTGTTTGAATATCTATACTCACACCATACACTAGGGTAAGGTACAAAGCCAGACGCCACCAGATTTCAAATTCCGACTGACATACAATAGACAAGTATAAAAGACTTCACTTTGCGATGTGGGCTTGCTATTCGCGCGGCACACCTCTATTTAGTCGGTGTGGCATTTGTGGTGTCACGCGAGAATCGATCTCAGCCGTCGTGCCGTGGAATGCTATATATAGGCAAGCAACATCGTATTCCAACTGCGCTGCAGCACATACCAAAACGTGGCTGAGAATGGCGAGGGGGCCTATATCTTCTAGTCACCTGGCGGCGCCATAAGGTGGATCAAAGAAGTTAGCCGCATCTACTCTGCTGATACGTAGATATGCTGAAACTGATGCCTAAGGTTTTGCAAAGAAATTCTGCTCTTGTAATCTGGACCGAATGATGACGACTTGTGTGGAAGGAGGATGATTCGAAAGTGATTGGTCTATCGGATCTCTCTCTGCTTAAATCCTGATTTATATGTGGTCCACTAATAAATCATGTGGGCCTTCAAATCGGTCTACTCGTCTGATCAGTCATGAGTTAATTACCGTCACAAAAACAATACCGTAAAAAATAAACCTTGAAGCTCGAATTATAGCCCCAGCTCTCTACCATATACAGATTTCTTAGTAAAAGCATTGTTGCGAAGACAGAGGACAAAAAAAGGGGTGATCTGCTTGTCGCACAGTCTCCACAAGATCGATGACAACATCGTTCCTCAACTCGAAGAGAAGCAACGTCGGTACGCGTGCTGGGCGTTGCTCAGGCGCTGGTAGACGTGCAGCATTGCCTATGCAGCGAACGAAACTATCATGATGCATGCTTAAGACGCAGCTGAGGTGATCATTACTGTTGTGGGTTGACGGTTAAGGTACTATTATCAGCTACCGTGGAAACCGTAAACCTTGAAGAACTTTAGACTTCTTGGTCCGAGTGCAAAACGCACAGTGAAAATGCATTTACAATAGGTACTAAGTTCGCAACTTTGAATACTACCTCTAAGCCTATTATTCGCAGTGACGTCATCCACTGACGTCATGCAATGATGTCATTCCGCTGACGTCATCCAATGACGTCATTCCCTGACTTCGCCCTTACTAGTTGTTGAAGGTATGACACGAGAGTGACGAGAAGACCGGAAGAGACCGGAGGGAGCGAAGAGGCTTGAGAAGCGGAGCAGAGAAGACTTGCTCGGCAGAAGGAGAATTCGAAAGTGATTGATTATCGGGGCTTGCTACTTACTACATGATTTATATGTGGTGCATATAAAAATCATGTGAAGCGTCTCATCATCCTACGCGTCTAATCAACTATGGTAATTACCGTAAGAACTACGTCGTAAATACGAAGCTGAACTGGCGGTTCGGATTGGACCGGTCACGGTTACTAATACTGGTAGGAAACCGATGACTGTTAACACAACCAAAATCGACGCCCCGTTTCATGAAGCTGTAGGCGCTTTAATGCACTTGATGACCGCGACACTACCGGAAATTGTCTTTGCTGTGAGTTACGTTTCGCGCTTCATGGAAAACCCCCAAGTCGAGCATCGGATGGCGGTCAAGCGCATTTTGCGATACTTTCAAGGGACTAAGCCGCACGGCATCTGTTTCAAGTCTGATGACAAGATAGACTTCTGCGGCTACTCGGATGCAGACTGGGCCGGCGACCATGCAGACCGCAAGTCGACTTCGGGATATGCGTTCATCCTGATGGGTGCTCCGGTGAGCTGGGGAAGCATAAAGCAGTCAAGTGTGTCACTGTCAACAATGAAGCTGAGTACATTGCACTAAGTCTGACGATTCAAGAAGGCAAGTGGGTGCATCGATTGCTGTGCGAGATTCTGGATGCCGCAGAGTACAAGTCTGGACCCGAGCTCAAGATCATGGAAGATAACCAATCGTGCATCAAGATGACGAACAATCCTGTGAACCATGGTCGGGCCAAGCACATCGACATCAAGTACCATCACATTCGTGATGAAGTCAAGCGTGGTGATGTCAATTTAAATTACTGTGAGACTACGATTATGTTGGCGGACATCATGACCAAGGGACTGCCAGGACCGCGTCACAAGGACTTGACGGCAGCGCTCGGCATACACGCGTGTTTGCATTGAGGGGGCGCATTGTGGGTTAACGGTTGAGGTGCTGTTATCAGCTACCATGGAAACCGTAAACCTGTCCAAGTCGATCCCGCGTAATTACGGTGAGTTTTTACCAATGATTAGACGCATAGGATGATTGGATGACCTACATGATTTATGATTCATGATTCATATGTGGACAACATATAAATCAGTGCAGAGACAATTCAGGTAGCTTTGAACCCACAATAAACTCACTTCCAAATATTCCTTCTCCTACACAAGTCGTCTTCACTTTGCAGTGTAGACTTCTTTTAAGTTCTTTAAGCTTCGTTCTATCGCCCAGTGCTCGTTACATCTTAACAGGGTGCCTACAAGCCATTACAACGCACAAAAAAGACATCTATTCATTGATTCTTTTCGCGCGTCTTACTTTGCGTACTCCATTTAAACAACCTGTTTGAATATCTATACTCACACCATACACTAGGGTGCAAGGTACAAAGCCAGACGCCACCAGATTTCAAATTCCGACTGACATACAATAGACAAGTATAAAAGACTTCACTTTGCGATGTGAGCTTGCTATTCGCGCGGCACACTTTCTATTTAGTCGGTGTGGCATTTGTGGTGTCACGCGAGAATCGATCTCAGCCGTCGTGCCGTGGAATGCTATATATAGGCAAGCAACATCGTATTCCAACTGCGCTGCAACACATACCAAAACGTGGCTGAGAATGGCGAGGGGGCCTATATCTTCTAGTCACCTGGCGGCGCCATAAGGTGGATCAAAGAAGTTAGCCGCGTCTACTCTGCTGATACGTAGATATGCTGAAACTGATGCCTAAGGTTTTGCAAAGAAATTCTGCTCTTGTAATCTGGACCGAATGATGACGACTTGTGTGGAAGGAGGATGATTCGAAAGTGATTGGTCTATCGGATCTCTCTCTGCTTAAATCCTGATTTATATGTGGTCCACTAATAAATCATGTGGGCCTTCCAATCGGTCTACTCGTCTGATCAATCATGAGTTAATTACCGTCACAAAAACAATACCGTAAAAAATAAACCTTGAAGCTCGAATTGTAGCCCCAGCTCTCTACCATATACAGATTTCTTAGTAAAAGCATTGTTGCGAAGACAGAGGACAAAAAAGGGGTGATCTGCTTGTCGCACAGTCTCCACCAGATCGATGACAACATCGTTCCTCAACTCGAAGAGAAGCAACGTCGGTACGCGTGCTGGGCGTTGCTCAGGCGCTGGTAGACGTGCAGCATTGCCTACGCAGCGAACGAAACTATCACGATGTATGCTTAAGACGCAGCTTAGGTGATCATTACTGTTGTGGGTTGACGGTTAAGGTACTATTATCAGCTACCATGGAAACCGTAAACCTTGAAGAACTTTAGACTTCTTGGTCCGAGTGCAAAACGCAAAGTGAAAATGCATTTACAATAGGCACTAAGTTCGCAACTTTGAATACTACCTCCAAGCCTATTATTCGCAGTGACGTCATCCACTGACGTCATGCAATGATGTCATTCCGCTGACGTCATCCAATGACGTCACTCCCTGACTTCGCCCTTACTAGTTGTTGAAGGTATGACACGGGAGTGACGAGAAGACCGGAAGAGACCGGAGGGAGCGAAGAGGCTTGAGAAGCGGAGCAGAGAAGACTTGCTCGGCAGAAGGAGAATTCGAAAGTGATTGATTATCGGGGCTTACTACTTACTACATGATTTATATGTGGTGCACATAAAAATCATGTGCAGTGTCCCATCACGCTACGCGTCTAATCAACTATGGTAATTACCGTAAGAACTACGTCGTAAATACGAAGCTGAACAGGCGGTTCGGATTGGACCGGTCACGGTTACTAATACTGGTAGGAAACCGATGACCGTCAACAATTTTGCGATACTTCAAGGGACTAAGTCGCACGGCATCTGTTTCAAGTCTGATGACAAGATAGACTTCTGCGGCTACTCGGATGCAGACTGGGCCGGCGACCATGCAGACCGCAAGTCGACTTCGGGATATGCGTTCATCCTGATGGGTGCTCCGGTGAGCTGGGGAAGCATAAAGCAGTCAAGTGTGTCACTGTCAACAATGAAGCTGAGTACATTGCACTAAGTCTGACGATTCAAGAAGGCAAGTGGGTGCATCGATTGCTGTGCGAGATTCTGGATGCCGCAGAGTACAAGTCTGGACCCGAGCTCAAGATCATGGAAGATAACCAATCGTGCATCAAGATGACGAACAATCCTGTGAACCATGGTCGGGCCAAGCACATCGACATCAAGTACCATCACATTCGTGATGAAGTCAAGCGTGGTGATGTCACTTTAAATTACTGTGAGACTACGATTATGTTGGCGGACATCATGACCAAGGGACTGCCAGGACCGCGTCACAAGGACTTGACGGCAGCGCTCGGCATACACGCGTGTTTGCATTAAGGGGGCGTATTGCGGGTTAACGGTTGAGGTGCTGTTATCAGCTACCATGGAAACCGTAAACCTGTCCAAGTCGATCCCGCGTCATTGCGGTGAGTTTTTACCAACAATTAGATGCATAGGATGATCGGATGACCTACATGATTTATGATTCGTGATTCGTATGTGGACAACATATAAATCAGTGCAGAGACAATTCAGGTAGCTTTGAGCCCACAAATAAACTCACTTCCAAATATTCCTTCTCCTACACGAGTCGTCTTCACTTTGCAGTGTAGACTTCTTTTAAGCTCTTTAAGCTTCGTTCTCTCGCCCAGTGCTCGTTAAATCTTAACAGGGTGCCTACAAGCCATTACAACGCACAATAAAGATACCTATTCGTTAATTCTTTTCGCGCGTCTTACTTTGCGTACTCCATTTAAGCAACCTGTTTGAATATCTATACTCACACCATACACTAGGGTGTAAGGTACAAAGCCAGACGCCACCAGATTTCAAATTCCGACTGACATACAATAGACAAGTATAAAAGACTTCACTTTGCGATGTGGGCTTGCTATTCGCGCGGCACACTTTCTATTTAGTCGGTGTGGCATTTGTGGTGTCACGCGAGAATCGATCTCAGCCGTCGTGCCGTGGAATGCTATATATAGGCAAGCATCATCGTATTCCAACTGCGCTGCAACCCATGCCAAAACGTGGCTGAGAATTGCGAGGGGGCCTATATCTTCTAGTCACCTGGCGGCGCCATAAGGTGGATCAAAGAAGTTAGCCGCGTCTACTCTGCTGATACGTAGACATGCTGAAACTGATGCCTAAGGTTTTGCAAAGAAATTCTGCTCTTGTAATCTGGACCGAATGATGACGACTTGTGTGGAAGGAGGATGATTCGAAAGTGATTGGTCTATCGGATCTCTCTCTGCTTAAATCCTGATTTATATGTGGTCCACTAATAAATCATGTGGGCCTTCCAATCGGTCTACTCGTCTGATCAATCATGAGTTAATTACCGTCACAAAAACAATACCGTAAGAAATAAACCTTGAAGCTCGAATTGTAGCCCCAGCTCTCTACCATATACAGATTTCTTAGTAAAAGCATTGTTGCGAAGACAGAGGACAAAAAAGGGGTGATCTGCTTGTCGCACAGTCTCCACAAGATCGATGACAACATCGTTCCTCAACTCGAAGAGAAGCAACGTCGGTACGCGTGCTGGGCGTTGCTCAGGCGCTGGCAGACGTGCAGCATTGCCTATGCAGCGAGCGAAACTATCACGATGCATACTTGAGACGCAGCTTAGGTGATCATTACTGTTGTGGGTTGACGGTTAAGGTACTATTATCAGCTACCGTGGAAACCGTAAACCTTGAAGAGCTTTAGACTTCTTGGTCCGAGTGCAAAACGCAAAGTGAATATGTATTTACAATAGGCACTAAGTTCGCAACTTTGAATACTACCTCTAAGCCTATTATTCGCAGTGACGTCATCCACTGACGTCATGCAATGATGTCATTCCGCTGACGTCATCCAATGACGTCACTCCCTGACTTCGCCCTTACTAGTTGTTGAAGGTATGACACGGGAGTGACGAGAAGACCGGAAGAGACCGGAGGGAGCGAAGAGGCTCGAGAAGCGGAGCAGAGAAGACTTTCTCGGCAGAAGGAGAATTCGAAAGTGATTGATTATCGGGGCTTGCGACTTACTACATGATTTATATGTGGTGCACATAAAAATCATGTGAAGCGTCTCATCATCCTACGCGTCTAATCAACTATGGTAATTACCGTAAGAACTACGTCGTAAATACGAAGCTAAACAGGCGGTTCGGATTGGACCGGTCACGGTTACTAATACTGGTAGGAAACCGATGACCGTCAACACAACCAAAATCGACGCCCCGTTTCATGAAGCTGTAGGCGCTTTAATGCACTTGATGACCGCGACACTACCGGACATTGCTTTTGCTGTGAGTTACGTTTCGTGCTTCGTGGAAAGCCCCCAAGTCGAGCATCGGATGGCGGTCAAGCGCATTTTGCGATACTTTCAAGGGACTAAGTCGCACGGCATCTGTTTCAAGTCTGATGACAAGATAGACTTCTGCGGCTACTCGGATGCAGAATGGGCCGGCGACCATGCAGACCGCAAGTCGACTTCGGGATATGCGTTTATCTTGATGGGTGCTCCGGTGAGCTGGGGAAGCATAAAGCAGTCAAGTGTGTCGTTGTCAACAAATGAAGCTGAGTACATTGCACTAAGTCTGACGATTCAAGAAGGCAAGTGGGTGCATCGATTGCTGTGCGAGATTCTGGATGCCGCAGAGTACAAGTCTGGACCCGAGCTCAAGATCATGGAAGATAACCAATCGTGCATCAAGATGACGAACAATCCTGTGAACCATGGTCGGGCCAAGCACATCGACATCAAGTACCATCACATTCGTGATGAAGTCAAGCGTGGTGATGTCACTTTAAATTACTGTGAGACTACGATTATGTTGGCGGACATCATGACCAAGGGACTGCCAGGACCGCGTCACAAGGACTTGACGGCAGCGCTGGGCATACACGCGTGTTTGCATTGAGGGGCGCATTGTGGGTTAACGGTTGAGGTGCTGTTATCAGCTACCATGGAAACCGTAAACCTGTCCAAGTCGATCCCGCGTAATTACGGTGAGTTTCTACCAATGATTAGACGCATAGGATGATCGGATGACCTACATGATTTACGATTCATGATTCATATGTGGACAACATATAAATCAGTGCAGAGACAATTCAGGTAGCTTTGAACCCACAAATAAACTCACTTCCAAATATTCCTTCTCCTACACAAGTCGTCTTCACTTTGCACTGTAGACTTCTTTTAAGTTCTTTAAGCTTCGTTCTCTCGCCCAGTGCTCGTTACATCTTAACAGGGTGCCTACAAGCCATTACAACGCACAATAAAGACATCTATTCATTAATTCTTTTCGCGCGTCTTACTTTGCGTACTCCATTTAAGCAACCTGTTTGAATATCTATACTCACACCATACACTAGGGTGTAAGGTACAAAGCCAGACGCCACCAGATTTCGAATTCCGACTGACATACAATAGACAAGTATAAAAGACTTTACTTTGCGATGTGGGCTTGCTATTCGCGCGGCACACTTTCTATTTAGTCGGTGTGGCATTTGTGGTGTCACGCGAGAATCGATCTCAGCCGTCGTACCGTGGAATGCTATATATAGGCAAGCAACATCGTATTCCAACTGCGCTGCAACACATACCAAAACGTGGCTGAGAATGGCGAGGGGGCCTATATCTTCTAGTCACCTGGCGGCGCCATAAGGTGGATCAAAGAAGTTAGCCGCATCTACTCTGCTGATACGTAGATATGCTGAAACTGATGCCTAAGGTTTTGCAAAGAAATTCTGCTCTTGTAATCTGGACCGAATGATGACGACTTGTGTGGAAGGAGGATGATTCGAAAGTGACTGGTCTATCGGATCTCTCTCTGCTTAAGTCCTGATTTATATGTGGTCCACTAATAAATCATGTGGGCCTTCCAATTGGTCTACTCGTCTGATCAATCATGAGTTAATTACCGTCACAAAAACAATACCGTAAGAAATAAACCTTGAAGCTCGAATCATAGCCCCAGCTCTCTACCATATACAGATGTGAAATTTGATCCCGCGTAATTACGGTGAGTTTTTACCAATAATTAGACGCATAGGATGATTGGATGACCTACATGATTTATGATTCATGATTCATATGTGGACAACATATAAATCAGTGCAGAGACAATTCAGGTAGCTTTGAACCCACAAATAAACTCACTTCCAAATATTCCTTCTCCTACACAAGTCGTCTTCACTTTGCAGTGTAGACTTCTTTTAAGTTCTTTAAGCTTCGTTCTCTCGCCCAGTGCTCGTTACATCTTAACAGGGTGTCTACAAGCCATTACAACGCACAATAAAGGCACCTATTCATTAATTGTTTTCGCGCGTCTTACTTTGCGTACTCCATTTAAGCAACCTGTTTGAATATCTATACTCACACCATACACTAGGGTGTAAGGTACAAAGCCAGACGCCACCAGATTTCGAATTCCGACTGACATACAATAGACAAGTATAAAAGACTTTACTTTGCGATGTGGGCTTGCTATTCGCGCGGCACACTTTCTATTTAGTCGGTGTGGCATTTGTGGTGTCACGCGAGAATCGATCTCAGCCGTCGTACCGTGGAATGCTATATATAGGCAAGCAACATCGTATTCCAACTGCGCTGCAACACATACCAAAACGTGGCTGAGAATGGCGAGGGGGCCTATATCTTCTAGTCACCTGGCGGCGCCATAAGGTGGATCAAAGAAGTTAGCCGCATCTACTCTGCTGATACGTAGATATGCTGAAACTGATGCCTAAGGTTTTGCAAAGAAATTCTGCTCTTGTAATCTGGACCGAATGATGACGACTTGTGTGGAAGGAGGATGATTCGAAAGTGACTGGTCTATCGGATCTCTCTCTGCTTAAGTCCTGATTTATATGTGGTCCACTAATAAATCATGTGGGCCTTCCAATCGGTCTACTCGTCTGATCAGTCATGAGTTAATTACCGTCACAAAAACAATACCGTAAAAAATAAACCTTGAAGCTCGAATTATAGCCCCAGCTCTCTACCATATACAGATTTCTTAGTAAAAGCATTGTTGCGAAGACAGAGGACAAAAAAGGGGTGATCTGCTTGTCGCACAGTCTCCACAAGATCGATGACAACATCGTTCCTCAACTCGAAGAGAAGCAACGTCGGTACGCGTGCTGGGCGTTGCTCAGGCGCTGGTAGACGTGCAGCATTGCCTATGCAGCGAACGAAACTATCATGATGCATGCTTAAGACGCAGCTTAGGTGATCATTACTGTTGTGGGTTGACGGTTAAGGTACTATTATCAGCTACCGTGGAAACCGTAAACCTTGAAGAACTTTAGACTTCTTGGTCCGAGTGCAAAACGCAA